GGCACTTGCTGTCACCAAGCAAATAATACAGTACCTGACAGCGAGAGTATTGCCAAGGAAAAAGTTGTTTATGAGCAGCTACACATCCGTATTTTCTCTCTTACTGCCCTACCATTGTTCATACAGCCTCGGGTTTACTTATTATTTCAAAACTTGATAGTCAAAGACTTTTCTCCCCTACTCATGCATTTTTGTAAATCAATATGATTAAAAATGAACCTACTACGCATCTGCGTGATGAACACAGTAAGAGTTCATCCTGCATTTTTCCCATCAAGGTCCCCATCCTGCTTTTTCTAGATCACCAAGACTTCTGCTGCAATTACCGGATAGAGACAAGTCCCAACTCCTGAATGTGCTTAAGCAGCCTGCTCCCAAGGACTTCAGCTGTAAGAGAAGTTCCATCCTCTGCCCTGGCAGGTGTTAAGAGCTCACTGTTACAGTGAATTTTCCAAAGACGTTATCCTGAGATTACAAATTGTTATAATCTCTGTAAATCCAGAACTGGATGGTCACATTTCCTAGGCCCCATTACAACAGAAGGATTGAAACATTGAAATATAGCTTAAGCATGAGGTCAAACACCGCTGAGAGTGCCTGTAGCAGGAGTATGACTTCACCTTTAAATCCTTTGAGAGCATAAAAGGAAAAATTACTCATTGCATAAGAATTACACCTTAAAACATGCACACAGAAGGACTTTCATAATTTGCTTTTTTTTATTTCCTAAGAACGAACAGGCCATTTAGCTCTGGGGGAAGAGTCAGAAGTCCCATTCCCGCTCTTATATGTAACAAGAAGCACCCACAGCAACAATTTTCTTTACACGTTACCTGCAAGAATGGCTCAGAGATAAAGAAGTCATCATCAAGTCTATCAAATGAATCTGTGTCCTCAAAAATTTCAACCTAGACCTAGTTTTAAAAACACTGATAATGACAGCAGTGTATGACATCTGACCTTCCTAAAAAAAAACACTACATGAAAAGCTAACTGTGCAATCTGATTAGCCAGCACATCAGCAAAAGTTCAAGGAAAGCAGTGCAAAAAAATGAAGGAGTAAGTAATGAAAGTGAAACAGAGCTAGACTACACACCGTGAAGCCTGTGAACAAGCACGTGGCTTTTTGCTTTCCCAAATAAAACTGCAATTTAATAACACTGGCAGGTTGACTTTAATAGAAATATCTTACAAAGTCAGACTTTGATGGTTGGCATATTGCAGAATAACTCTTGCCACACACAGTGGGACTAAGACCCAAGGAAAAAACAGATGCTTCCCAGTAGCAGCATCTGACCCTGATGTAACAGACAATTTGGTTGACACGCAAGACGTGCCCCAGCCAAGCTTTGCTGAAATGAGTGTGCCCAATGTGGGATATTAACTGGCAGATTTCCCGACGGCTTTTAGGAATTCTTCAGAGATGCTCTGTGTCTAAGAGCTTTCGTCCCAAAGGGGATATACATTGCTCCCTTCTCTGAAGGCGATTGTCTGCTGCAAAAATATTGGAGAAACTGAAGAAATACAAAAATGAAAACCATGATCAGAGAAGTGCTTTGATGCGTAAGTAAAGGCAAAGTAAAACTTCTATCACCTTGAAAGAAAAAAGTTACACTGGAAAACAGAAGTGAGATTAGATTCCATTGATCTTGACCCTTAAAGATGCTGTCCCTTAATTAGAATTTCCTATGAATGTCTCATTCACAAAATAACTTAAAACATACTCCTCAACAGCTGCTCCCAACAATTCAGAAAGTAAAAGCCATGCACAAATGAAAACCAGAAGGCACAAATTAAAACAACACAACAAAAAAACACTTTCTCAGCATCATTATGCCCAAAAACAACGAAAAAAAAAGCAAAAGAAACTGAAAGCATTTTAACTTGTGAAATATAAAATGCAATTCATGTTATGGAGGAATACGTCAGCCTTTTAGCTAGGAAACAGTCTTTCCATGGGCACTTGGTTATTTATTAGCTGTCATGCAAAAACAATTAGTCATTCAAGCAATTAAAAAGGTAAGTATCTCCTAAAAATGTTTTGAGCTTTCCCAAGCCCTATATGCAACTGCTATAAACCTAGACTGTTCCTGAGTGTGAGTTAATTACTGGATTGCCTCTCCTAACGAGATTCATCGTATCAAGTGTTGTAAATTCTTGATGCTCTTTTAGCTGCAGTCTGAGCATCTGGTGAATTCTCCTCCTGCTCCTCAGACTTCTTATGGTTTAGGAAGATGTCTGACTTTAAGAAGCGGCTGTAGCTGTCGTATTTCATCAGATTGAATATCTGGTAAGAGAGGAAAAAAAAAAAAAAAAAAAAAGAATGACCCAAGTAAAACTACATTTTGAATGAGGACAACATATGAATTCTACTGTTGGTTTTTTTTTTTTTTTTCCTGTTACTGCTGCCAGGATTGTAATTACTAAAAGGCACGACATTAAAATACACCTCAAAGTGTATTTTAGTTTTAATTTAAGTGTCAAATGGCTCCAGAGTAAGCTCATCCCTCAACACATCTGCTTTCTCTCCTATTTATATCCACTTCAGGCAAAAAAAATGCTAGAACTCATTTGGAGCTTTCTGAAAACAAAAGGGCTTAGGAGAGGAGCCTGGAATCTGGTCAGTGTCAAGGTTGGGGCCGTATTTTGCTTGGTCTTGAAACAATGGGAAAGAAAAAAGAAAACCTGAAAACTACAACCATGGCAAAACCCAAGTCCGCACCACCCTCTGATGACTATTTCATTGGAGCAACCTCCCTGAGCTATCACTCGTGACTCATTACATTTTATGGTACCCAGAGTAACTACGTTTCCAAGAGGAATTTCTGGATTCTGACCTGCATTTGTGGATCATCCAAATGCGGATAACCTTACAAGCCTCATTTCTAGCTGGTAGTGCAACTGGGTAATCCAGCTGTTTGGAAGGAAAAAAATCCCAAACTGCCTTTTTGTTTTTTTGCCCACATGTTCAAGGAACCTGAACAGACACACCAAGGCAAGCAAACAGAACTTGACTTCTCTTGCCTGTGCGTGAGCTGGAATACCCCCCTTGCAAAATAAATGACATAAAGCATTTTACAAATCATCACTTGTTTATATATCTAGATATTTAAGTACACATTTTAAATGGTGGCAATCTTGAAGACTAAAAATTAATTCCCAAACACTCTCTCGATAAAGACTCAAATCTGTAGAGTTAAGCAAGGTCAAATTACACTTGCTGGGGTTGGCTAACTCCAATATAATTACATTTATCAAACTAGCTTAAGGGCAAAAAAAAATATTGCAATGAAAACATCACCTGTTAAAATGTTTTAAGTCAGCTTAAGAACTTAGACTCCTCTTGTTCCTGTGTCATCTACAGCATCTCCCAGAGAGGGAGAACACTAAGATCAAAATCTTCTCTGAGTACCCCTAGAGCCTGGTTAGCCAGAAACAGATTTTATAATCACGTGCAAAAGCTGAGTTCTCTTTGTTCCCTCCTCGTGTCACCTCGGAGCAGGCACGTTTACCCTGCAAGTATTTAAAAATCTACAGATTTTCATGAACCACTTCCAACGCCCTTCAACAGCAACAGCTGCCTCTAAGCTGTGTGCGTAAGGTCGCCCCAGAAGTAGCCCCAGTTAAATCACCGGGGCTGCTGGGGAACCAAGTGCTGGTTATCACTGATGCTGGGAACCCTACAAGCTCTGGCCAACGAGCCCGGCTGACTGCGCCTCAAGCACAAGCTGCCAGTAGCAGTTAGCAGTGTTTGTTAGAGATCAAGTTATATGCACTGCTCTTCATAACTTTATAAGGATTGAAGACAAGAGAAGAACATAACTCTTCCTCAATTATCTAACAGCAATAAACAGGAGCTTCAAGCAGTGGAAATCTACAACAACCCAAATGTTCTGCATTTGGTAAGTTCACAGACTTTCTCCCTACACCACTGGGATTCTTCTCCTGCTGTTCTAGCACGTTTCCAGGTCAGCTATCACTAAGCCCTGGCTGTGCACACTCACTGTAAAGCTGCAAAACATCCTAACCCAAGTAGCCCCTCCAGCTTCACCCTCATGACCATGTAATCACCCACCCGCCCACCAAGTCAGGAGGTTTTCCATGACAAACACTGCTTCTTCCCGTGGAAGCTGGGTTTCAGGCACTTCCACTGCTAATGGCTTGGAATCTCCCTGAAAGATGGCAGGACCTTTGCTCCCCAGATCCCTCCAACTGATCCAGCCAGTGCCCAACTAACATATTCAGCACCTGATATAAAAATAGGCTGAAAACGCTATTTTAAATCTGTGTAACTGCTTCTCTGCAAAAGAGCTAAATGGAACATACAGGTAGTGCTGAGGTTGGTACAGAAATTAAAAATAGCACAGACTGCAAGTGCTGGAAAGCTGCAGATGACTCACTTCACAGCTTACGATTTGAACTAAGCTAACAATTAAGAAGATTTACCACCAAAAGGCGTACCTGAAGTCCACTACTTAATTTCTACCAGACCTCCCAAGTTCTGTAGGAAAACGCAAAGCAGATGCCAACTCCTCTCTTTAGTTTTGTGTGTGGCAGAAGAGGGGGCTTTTTGGAAAACTGCATTATACTTACATAAATATAAATACAAAACAAAGCAAAGAGAGGAATCTTGAGCTCTCAGGGAAACCAGTGGCAACTACGGAAACAAACATCAGCAATGACTCGGCACAAGTGAACACAGGAAAATGTAGGCACAAAGTTAGGCACTCGCGGATTCCCAAGCTACCAGCGGAGGAACCCAGGAGCAAACTTCATCCAATTTTTCAGGAAAGTCCCAAACTGGAATTCATACGGTTCATATTTCTTCACCATTCGCATGGTGAAGAAAATAGTTTTACCTGGTCCTGGAGCTTCTGAAACATTAGAGGGTGAGGCGTCTCCAAAATTGTCTCACTCAAACGGGACTGCCCTTCAACGTTGACTTGGGACGAGGCCTTACTGGACAGGAAAGTCATGTAAATTTCTTTAGCTTTTTCTTGCATCTGCAAAAGGACACATTTACGTAAATAATTATTTACTGTGGAAATAGTCGCTGTATTTTTAAGGTTTTGATGGAGACTTCTAACTCACTCACTCCTTAAAAACAAAAAGTAGTGTGAATTGAAAAGGAAACAAAACAAAACTATAAAGATCAGCTTATTTATTTATACTTATTTGTGCTGGAGGAAAAACATCACTGCAGGCCAATTCCTGTGTTGACATTAGCAGAAGTTGTGAGTATTCAGCACATCAGTCAGACAGCAGTTGTGATGTTCAAAACTGAGTATCCAGCATAAAGCTGTACAGCACCATCACCTAGGATTTGTCTTCACTATTTAGAAGATTGTTTTTACTAATAGATAACCAGCATACACAAGGAACCCAGGAGGAAAAAAACACCATGGAAGCTTACTCTCCCTGTGCAGCAAAAAATAAGCAAATCAGTGCATAATGCCTGCTGCTGGATAACGTCATCATGCAGCTTACATGTTGTTTTTGTGTTTTTACCTCAGGGCAGCTCACATCCAACACTGAGTACAAGATTGGGGAAAAAAAATAATTTTTGGCTAACCGTATTGATAAGTCTCTCAAAAGCTGTTAGAGGTGTGACTTGCATAAGGCACTGTGTTAGCATTTGCCCTGATTTCATGAGTCTTCTCTTGATAGATCAATACCAGTGACAGTGTTTCAACCATACCAGGCACCCTTAAGCATCAAAGCAACATCCAAGTGGCTAAAATCCTTTAACATCAAACGCAGGCCAGTCAGATCAAAAAAAAGCTTGTGAGGAAGAATGCTGCCAAGCCACGTACAAGGTAAGCCTCGCTGCAGCCCTCTGAAAGCACGGCCTGCAGAGCAGCAGGCCCGGATAACTGGCAGCAGGTCCGTGTCAGCGTTCCTCACTGCATTTAACGAGCAACTGTCTACGAGGGGACCCTTTGGCAGGAAGTGGGCTTGAAGGAGGAAGCACTTAAACCCTTACCCACGAACAAGTCCCAGAATTTCTTTAATGTTTTACAGCTGAGAATCAGCATTTGGTGATAATTAGAAGAAAAGCAACATGTGCTTGACAATTAGTAATGCCTGAGAGTTAACTCTCCCTCTGCTGAAGGGGACGCAAAGTGCTACAGGTCACTCATCTGGTGGACAAACTATCACATGCCAGGTGCATTTGGTCACAGTGAGGTGTTTTTTGAAGATCCACAATCTTTTCAGTTTCACTGATTAGGGGAGACTGGGTCAGAGACGTCTGTTCTAAACGAGCCATTAATCCAATCAGAGGTGTGACTGCCTTAAATTACATTAAAGCCCTCACACAGACAAGGTGCAAAGGATATATTCCAAAGTTGCCTCCTTGAGCTGCCAGCCAGGACTTGGCAGGTGGCTAATCGATACCCACAGAGCTCCACGCCAGCCCCAGCACGAGGTGCTTCTTGCCCAAGGAGCACAGCAGCAAGCTGGGCACCACGGGGAAATAGTAAAGGAAGGCTCAAGGGGAAACATGAGAGAAAACAGAAGTGCTGTGAGGAAGTTAGAGAACATGGGGGGAACAAGAAGACTGCGTGGGAGGCTGGTGAAATGGGGAGGATCTCTGGATTTTGTGGGAAAGAATGACAAAGAAAGGAAGTGAAAGAACTGTGGTAGGGAGAGGGGGTCACTGCAGAGACACAGGGGGCCTGATGTGGCACTGGAGACATGGAAGTACACAAATGAACTTCACATGTTCTGCTGCACACAGAGCCCCTCTTAGGCTACATCTATGTTCCAGCAGGGAAATATCAGTTGAACTAAAAAAGAAATGAAGGTACAGTGAAGCTGCCAGTACGTTTATGCCTTCCCCAGAGGATGTTCATGGAAAGCCAGGTCCAGGCGGAAGAGGAAGCGCTGTTCCCAGTCGGTGGGTGGTGATCTTTGTTCTAGCCTCAAACTAAAGCCTCAGCGAGGGGGACTCTGCTCTGATTCTGAGACTGGAACCTTGTTCACAGGTGGTTATTAAAGCGTTTCTGGCACTTTTCTCTTACATCTGTGTACTCGCCTCTGCATCCACGCCAAGTTCCCCTTTGGAATACAAAGTTCTGTCTACGCAAATCCCCCTCGGTAGTTCAAATGGATAAAATATTCCTTCCCACTTCCTTTCATAAGGTCAAATTCAGCTCTGAAGCATGTGTGGTTCCCAAATGAGGTGAATGGGCGTCCCAGATGCTCATCAGAGCAGACTCCAGCAGTTAGCAGCTGTGCGGTGTTACCTAGTCCTTTATAAACACTGCCAAATTTCATAGGAGAAGTAGCAGAAGGACATGATACAGAATAGATATGGAACCACAGTGTCATTTGGGCTGGAAAAGGCTTTCAGGACCATCAAATCCAACCATAATACACATTTGTTCTGTAAGTGGTCTCTACAAAACTTCTTGAGCATTTTGCTGAATTTCAGCAACAGCTGAAAAGATTCTCTGTTGTTCAAAACACTTCCTACAATCTGTAACTTGTCCTTAAAGCTCAGCTGCAATAGAAGAAGAATTTAAAACTTGGAAAGTAGCACAAGGGACATGTTATTTATTTCATTAGCAAGCAGAAACACATATCTAACCTCAGTAAAATATTTAAAGTTAAATTTTATTCACTTATCCTCACCACTCCCATTTCAATAGTTAAACGTGTGTCCTAAGATGTGGACCATATGGGTAGCAGCAGAGCTCACTTAATTCCTTCCCCAGTCTTCACTAAAAATGACATTTCTATTTTGACTTCAATTTTAAAGGAGTGATAAGGAAAATATCCTTTTTATTTCTTTATTTTAAATGACAGAGGTGTTTCCTGAGCGGAGGGGAAGAGCTTGTACTTCCATGCTGCAAGACAACAGCTTGGAGTCAGCCCACCTGAAGACCTGTCCAGGCTCTTGATGCAGTCTGCTCGCTGCCCAACTCTGCAGATGTTGAACATTTCCCCTGCACCATGCATGCATTTTGCGTTAGCTCACCAAAACAGGAAAACAAATGTAAACTTGAGGAGAGGTATGGTCTGAACTCCTTTTCTGCTGCTTTCTGTATTCCCACCACTAGTCTAGAGCCAACACCATGGGCAGGTGCCAGGCTTCTTCTTGCCAGTGCTCCCTCCGCTCCTGTGATCAAGCAACCCTGGCTGCACAGTGGCTCACATTCAAGGGGAAGGGGGCAGAGAAGATGCATCTGCACAACATCTTGCAAGATCTGCCATGTAGGCTCGATACATCAGCTCTCTAGGCAGAGCCCACATGGCTGTGGTTAGAGTAAAGACTGAAGCAAACTTAATGAGCCTCAACAAAAGGCACCAGATATTTTCTCAGAATGGCACTAACAGAGGTAGGCAGCTTGCAGCCAGCAGAAAGCACGGCCAGGGCAAGCTGGCACCTGCCTGCAAGGGGCGGACTGGACAGCAGGGAAGGGCAGCAGCTCCCAAGCCAACCTCCCCACCTCACAGCAGCACCTGCAGGACCACGACAGCACTGGGAACAGCAGATAATTAATCCAACGAGCAGCTGGTGACTTTGGTGCAAGCTGCATCTAAGAAAACCCTCATGCTAACACTCGCACGTCAAGTAATGGCAAGTTTATTTTATACTTTAAAAATAGAAAAAAACAATCCTACTTTATCCAGGTTTAATTGAAATCAACTTCATCTGACCAAAATCCGAGTGTCTGTGAGAGTTTCTGTGGTAAACCAGCTCTAATGAGAAGCAGGTTGTTAAATAACTAAGTTGGTTTTGGAACACTTTGCTCTCATCAGACAGATACAAAGTGATTTTTGCAAGAGTCACTTTCAGAAGACATATTCGTGCTTAATGCTATCATGAACACTTGAAGGATTTCTACTTTTAGTGCTTTTTCTACCTGTGTAAGTTATCTAAATAAGCAGTAGCTACAAAAACTTACTGCAAATCCGTGTCATCCTAAAGCACACTTATGCTACCTGGTTGTAACGTTTGGAGTCTACAGTGCCAAAGCTGTGCTGTAATGACTGGTACTGAATAATTAAGCTGAGTTGAAACTAACCAAGTCTCCATCCGTTCATTTGGCAATCCAGTCAAGCATTCACTAAGCTGCTATCTCTATCCATCAGTTTGCCATTTCCTGCACTAGCGTGCACAATCCTGTAAATCTAAAAAGATGGAAATTATTTAGTAAGGGAAAATCTGATTACTATCCAATGGCAAACATGGGACCCGACAGAAGGATTTTCCATTTTTGTTTCCTTTTTAAAGTCTGGTTTGATACCTACACACCTCTTAGCAAGGACACTGCGTGACACACCAAGAAAAAAAACATCTGCCCTACACAGAGCAAAGGGATCTTTCCATTTGTTCATGAATTGCAATGCTGTCTTCTATTTTACCAGCTCAGAAGGGGAGTAGGGAAACAGCCAGGACACTGTATGGACATCTGGGGGAGGAAGAGATCAAACGCCTTCTACCTCAGACTGACACGATGGGATTGGAAGCAGCTGCTTCCTGCAAAGCAGAGCCAGGTCTGAGGACCTGTCTGGGCGAGCTTGGTGCCATCAGACGTTGGCTTCCAGCACGCCCCAGCCCGGCTGCAGCTGAAATCCCCTCACAGGCAAGGGGACAGATGGACTCGCAGCCTGGCTGTGCTCCTCACTCCACCCACGGAAACTGCTGCCACCAGAGGGGCAGCTAGCACAAGCAGTAACCTCTGTCATCCTGCCTCCTGACACTTGACTGTCCCCTCTCAAAAATAAGTATTGCTGAAAATCCAGTATTCTGCTGGAAAACATTATCCACTGACAACATTTGCCTGGCCTGAAGACAGGAAGTCCTGCAGTCTGGACACAAGAACTGAGGCAGCTCCTCCAGATGCACTTGATAATGCCCCCAGAAGGCCACTTCCCCCACCTGATTCCAATTCCCTGGCATTTCTGATGTTACTCACAGCATATGCTGTCCCATCTGAAGCAGGTTTAAGTGGTATTTTCCCAGTCTCACCTCCTCATGCTATTCTATTGGCCCAGAATAACACAAAAGGGGCTGTAAGTTTGCACCTGTTGCCTTCCAAAACATTTCCTTTGTCATCGATAAGAGGGGGGTACGTGAAGGGCATAAAGGTGGGATATCAAAAAAAGAGGGCTTCTAGGATTTAAGAGCCTTATTTTCACTGATTGTACTATTCAGTTGGAGTTTTGAAACTACCTTGAAGATAAATAAAATTCAGAATTTGACAAAAAAAATCTTAAAGTTTTTCCAGAAACAATCAAACAGAACGTGGTACGTATTTTAGGCCTGACTCTACAGGCTTCTAAGAAGAAGCAAAAGTACATCCTGTGTTCCTGTTGCACCTAGACTTCAATAGAAGTTACTGGAGATGGTTGGTTAAAAAGCTTCCAACAGAATAATTTTACCAGAAAAATATAGCTTTTATGAAAATAGGAATGTAACAATAAAAAAAAAATAAAATGAATGTATCAATTTGAATAAATATTTAAACAAAATAATCCAAATGGACCCTCAATTGCTTTTGCTTTGGTAATTTGGAAAGGCAAAACAATTCATTTTGGTATTGTAAAATATTTTGTTTGTGCTGTTTGTTTTTATGTTTGCATATTAAGCATAGTGGTGTATATTTTCATATAATAGCCATTATATTTTAAAATGTCCTAAATTAGATAACTTTATATTTTCAAACAAGATGATGGAATATTAGTGAACTAAACCTTTTGCTATTCCAAAGCAGCAACAAAAAGTTTAGTCGTCAAACACGGCAAACTTGGCAATTTCAGCATTTTGTTTTGATTGGAAATAAAACCAACTTTGTTTCTAAACAATTCTACCACAATGATTTCAGTACAACTCCCTCAAATGTGTTTATCTGCACTCACAGGAGGCACGTTATGTGACAGAAATATTACAGCTCCATCCCTGCTATGGAAACCTTGCTGACAAGTAAAATTTATTTAGGAAGCATACCTGTTTTTTTCCCTGTGTTTTCTTAAATTCTTCACACGCTAGCCAGAACAAAACATTTTCTTCACTGAATTCTTTCTTTAAAAATTCCTAGGGAAAAGAAAAAGAAAAGTTAACAAAGATAGGACCCAATTTCTCGACTGTTTTTCTCTCTTCCTACCGTAGCTATTAAAGCCAGAAGCTGCCTATGGCTAGTTTTCACCATGACATGAGTTTTCATAACAGAGTGCGACAGAAGCACTGCATTAATGTGTCTACACGCTGCCGAGGCACCAATGAACAATATATTCAGCACTTTAAAAGCACATTCCAGGAGAAGGATGAGCTACATCTAATCTCAGAGCTTATCAGTAACTAAGACGAAGAGCATCTTCAGTCTCCGTTAAATAACTTGAGTAATTTCACAGTTATTACTCAAAGGGAACTCTGCAAATATATGAATTCATTAGCAGGTGAGTATAATGAACTATTTTAATGAGAGCAACAGATCACTTGAGATTCTTGTCTAGCATCTTTCTGATTTTTTTAATGAGTGAAATCTCTACATATCAAAGTGTTTCTAAACATGATCATCAGTGGCAATAAATTTACTTAAGTAACTGAAGCAGAAGACGTATTTGGCTTCTCTAAACAGTGTTTAAGCATTCTCCCAAAACTGAAGAATGTTTTAAAATGAGGGGAAAAAAGTACGTTAAACTGACATATAAAAAGCAGTGATTGAAATATTTATAGCTCTGAGATTGACAATTTTTACTTCCAAGCATTAGAAAATAGAGATTAAGTAATGCCAAGAATTAAATAGTACCACGATTTTTGTTGTTGTTTTAAGAATTCTCAATCACACAGTAATTGCAGTGGTTTATAATCCTGGTTTACATCAGTTTTCAAACCAGTCTGGGAGGAAATAGTTTATCCCAGTGCATTTTATCAGTTCTTGGCCCAGCAAAGCCATACTTTACCAGGTAGTTCCTATTGCTGCAGCTAAATCCTTTGACTTCGGCTAAAAGGCCTCGATAAACCAACTGTCCGTCCTCACCTAATTAAGCCTCAAGCCTGCATTTGGAGCTACACAAGCCCACAGTTTGTAGTTAAGTTAATGTTTTTCAGTACAGCTGCTGCAATACAAAATAAGAGCTGCTCAGAGTTATCAGGCTGAGGGAATGGTTTGTGGTAACTTGCTGCTTGAGTAAGGATGTGCGGGAATGGGCCCAGCAATTAATAATGCTTGGCGAGAGAGATCAGTTGCTCAAGGCCTGTCGTTTATCTAACAGTAAACTGTTAATCCTCACAACAGCTGACCGATCCCATTAAAAAGATGCTACCCAAAGCCTTCCGCAGGCCTTCAAAGAGCAAGCAATTCCCCACATCAGCAGCTTGGCAAATGCCACAGCTCCAACTCTGCCACCTTGGCTCAGGGTACGCATCTAGAAAGATAGGAGCCTGTGCGCTCACAGCACTGGCACAGCTGCACCATTTGTGGTGAGCCTCATTCATCTCACTCCTCCTAATTCTAGTTTATATAAATATTTATAGGTAATATAGCAACCCTAAATCGTTTAACTCCCTCTGGATCTTCGAGGAGGTTCTCCAGCGACGAAGCCCATTTCGAGGTTCCTTTCAAGCTCTGGTGGCTGCTGCTGGGGTGACCCTCGCTGTCGTTTATCTCTGGAAAAATTGAGGAGAGCATCTTTGTTAGGAGTGATTAACATCACATGCAGTTCTTCCCCATTCCCCTCTGCTCCCTTGGATTACAGCTGCGCTCTTTAAAGGAAACACCATAAAACTGAAAATAAACACACGCACATATTTGAATGCTGCTTTGCATCTAGAGAGGTAAAATTGTCTCGCAGCTGGATAATTCACGAGCACAGAAGTAGGCGCTGCTGTTGCTTTATGGGAGTTCAGGCACCTTTTGCCTGCGGAGCACAGTGACCGCAGCCCGCGCAGCAGCAGGACCGTCTGCCTTTCCTCCTGGCAGCCCGTGGCATCGGTGCCTACGAAGCAAATCCCACTCGGTCGCACGCACGAAACTTATTTTCAAGGAAAGACTCATTGCTGGGAGGTGGGAAAAGGCAGAATGGGAAAGAAACACGATGCTTTGTTCAGCAGAACAAGTCTGGCACCTTAATGTGGTCTCAGGGGAGAGGGGCAGCTGGCAGAGGAGCCTCACCCCAGCTGAGCCAACCTGCGCTGGGCGAGTGGCCTCTGGGTGGTTTTTCTGATTGCTTGTTTGTTTTCAAGTCCCCTGAAGTTCTGTTTTCACAAGGTACGCTGGGCTGTGCCCGTGGCCTATCTGCCAGCCAGCCACCGCAGATAGGACAGCTGGTACATGGTTCTGAGTATTTCTGTCCCAGGGACAGAAAGCACATCGCATCCAAGGCTGGTGAAGCCAAAAAATTGTTTGCTGGCTACGCATCAGAAGACCTATTCCTTGGGAAGGCTCCAGAGCTTTTACTGCTGATCTGAACAACTCTCAAATACACATGAAGAGCTTGGCCTCCTTTCCTCGTGCACTCGGGATGCCAGGAGGAGACGCAGAAGGGCTGAAGGGCCGTGAGCAGCCAGGCACCAGCCGAGGTCCCTGCACACCGCAGAGGTGCACAGAGCGCGTGCTGAAACCACTGCAGGCGTCCTCACAGCCCCTGCGTCTCTCCCTGCCAGTACTGGAAACTCAGATCCCAGCATCTTCTGCTGCAGTTTTACAAACCCTCCCTCCGCCATGAATCTAAACCTCAGCAAGTATCTCACAGCATGATCTGTGCAGAGCTGTGCTATCAGATGCCCTTCGCAGCTATGGTTAAACCCCACGAAACACTCGCACTGCAGCTAAGAGTTTGGGTTGCTGCAGACTTGCAGAGTCCATTTGTTTTCCTAACGGTGAGAGAGACCACTGCGAAAATCTCCCCTTCCCACTTCACAAGTGGTTATTTCAGGTTTCAGGACACCCCCTCGGTAAGGGCCGCGACAGGTTTGTCTCCAAAGCAGCAGGTACAGCTACAGCCCTGCCTGTGTAAGAAAATTAAATCCACTCTGCCTGAGTCACAGTGCTGCAGTGAATTATCTGTGCCTCAGTTTCCCCTCCCCTCAGGCAAAAGGATGTGGTTCCCGATTGCGATTTGTGAAATTTATTTTAGGAGCCTGACTCAAAGTGTCCAGGCATCTGATCTTTGTAAACCAAGCGATAGCCAGGTGGGTGCAGCAAGGCAATGTGAGCAGAGCACCACGGGCTCCTGAGGGTCGCTCCCACCTGCAAGCAGAGCGGCAGCGCTGCGTAAAGGGGTGCAGGGCAGGGGGGAACATCCTCCAGCTTTGTAAGCCCATGAAAGCCGCTGGGTGTTTTTATTATACCCCATTAAATAAGCAGTCACAAACATTCCCTTTTTTTTTAATACAAGTGCCCCCCAGTTGGCATCGTACCTTCCCACCCCACGTATTAGCTCCATGTAGCAGATTTGATGTGTGATGTCCAGAAGTTTTTAAGACCTTAGGACAGGATAAAGTTCCCCAGAATGATCCCCATGTCCATAGCCCCAAGATCTTACTAAATTTCCTTAAAAACAATGCCTCCACTGAAGAAATGAGAACCTCAATGAGAACCTTTCCTTAAAAGCCACTCAATGAAAACCCAAAACCGTTTATTTTAGAATGCAATCCTGCAATAAACGTAATTACAGGAATAACCCTAATTATCACCGTTTGCTGTTTATAAAGATAACTTCCTGCTGTTAAAAGCATCTGGTGACCAAGTTACATATCGTACACTGGGAATAACAGGCTCAGCACTGGCGTTTAGTGACCAACAGGTACATGTCTGTGAGCAATAAAACCAGGCAGGCAGGCACTTGCTGCCACTGAGCACGGGGAGATAACTTTGAGCATGGAGCAGGGCGTTACGCCATGGCAGTTCTTCCACTTTACGTTCCTGAAAAAGCCGTAATCAGCACGCACGCGATAAACACGCTAATTATATCTCTTATTTCTGACTGCCCCAGGAAAGCGCTCGCTATCTCTCAGCAGACCAGAAGCCAAGGGGCAGAGCGAGCCAGCAGCAGGCAGCTCGGGGGCTGCTGAAGCAAAGTTTCCACTGAGCGAGCAGCCCTGACACCGCTGCCTCTGGGATGTGCAGCGGCCGGCACAAACACGGCAAGCGACCAAGTGCTTGCACTGCACCGTTATTTCGGAGGAGAATCCTACACTCTGCTAGCAAGCAGGATAGCGTGGTAGTTCAGGGCAGGATCCTGCAGGAACTGCTTTTTCCAGTCAGGCAGCAAGGCTGGGATAAAGCCTCTTTGTGCGGGGCAGATGTGCTGGGGAGCGCGGCACTCGTAACGCTGTGCCTGTCAGATGAGGGGGCTATCAGAAACGGCAAAGAGCTGCAGCCTCCGATGATAAGGGCTGAAAGCACAGCAAGCAGTGCTCACACCAAGCTGTGCCAGCAGCCACAGAGCGACCTGGAGCCTCACCAAGCCCCTGAGACACGAGGCATGGCCAAGCTGGACATGCCAGCCCTCATGGAGCCCCCTCAGCGCCTGCTGCCCCCAGCCCACCTCACACAGCCCCTGCTCGCATCAAACATCCAGCACGGGCCTCCTTATCCAACCTCAACCGCTCCCTGATCACACGCTTGGTTGTTAATTAAGGGAATCCTCCTCGGTTTCCAGCAGTCCCGTTGAAGGTTCACCTGCCTGTTTCGCGAAGCCACGGCGCCTTGCTACTGCTTTGGGCGCGCTCCCCGCACCGCATCCCGTCCTGCGGCCACCAGAGCCCTGTCCGGCCACAGCCCCTGGTACAATCCCTGGGATTAACAACCCGGGGTCACGAAGCAGCAGCGGGGCGGTGAGGTGAGGAGGGAGCAGCCTGGCTTCTCCCACAGGTCTGCCCCAGGACCCGGCGAGCAGCAGCAGCAGCAGCAGCAGCAGCAGCTGGCCACCGGCTTCCACTTTTAGCCCCCAGGAAGGAAGCGCAGGGGCCGTTCTGCTTTCGCAGCATCTCTGGAGGCGCTCCCCGGCCACGCATCCCTGCGAACGAGGCGCCCGAAGCCTTCCCTCAGCGCGGCGGCCGCGCCTCGGAGCACAGCGGGGGCCGCCCCCCGGCTCCCCCCGTCCCGTCCCGGTCCCGTCCCCGTCCCCCCGCGTGAGGCGCCCCCGGTACCTGAGGGCGGGCGCTTCCTGCTGAGGCGGCTCACGGCCCGGTTGAACATCGCGGGGCCCGCAGGGGGGTGCCGAGAGGAGGGGGAGCGGCCCCGTCCCAGCCCAGCCCGGCCCGGCCCTGCCCGGCCCCGACCGCCGCCTCCTGCCGGGCGCCGCCGCCGCCCGCTCCGCCCCGCGGCTGAGGCGGTGCCGGTAACGGGGCCGGGCGCCGCTCGCCGAGAGGCCCCGGGAGCTGCTGCCGGGGGCGGCTCCCGCTCGCCTCAGCCCCGCTGAACCTTCGCTCGGCCCCGCCGGGCTCCTGCCCCACACGGGCAGCGGCCACCGGGCAGGTGCTGGGCGGCCCCGACATGGCGGTGGCGCCTTCCCGCCAGAAGCGGCGGGCTGGTGGCGCTGCCGGCGCCCCCCTCGCTCTCCTGAGACGTGGAAGAGCAATTCTGGCCCAGCAGAGGGGCAGCGAAGATGTTAACAATTCCCTTTCTCGTTTATTTCATTCTGAAAAGTGGCATTTTACTGAAATATTTCACCCCAAACACCCAAGAGCCCCACCAGCAGCCACGTCCGCCCCCATTTTGTGTCTGCCTCAGCACACAACTGGCTCCCCTCACAAACCCAGGGATGTTTTTCGCTTACACACGAGGCCAAGCTCCCTTCCCTGGGAATCGGTGACACCAGAACCCCCAACACGAGAATAAATCGCATCTGTGCTTCCAAAGTAAATAACAGCACAATACCTTCCAGCTGAAGGGATTTGGCCTGTGCGCTGCTGGATTTGTGCCTCGCCTACCAGGGCCAAAAGCTGTGTTAGCTGGTAAAGATTTCTTGGCTTTTGGTGAGGATTAAAAATAAATAAATAAATAGTTTTGCAGCTAGGGGGAACTGCAGAACAGCTGCATGTGGCATTTGCAAACAGATGTGCGAAACCTAAGAAACACAAGTGTATTTGGGCCGTAACTGGTGTTTCTGTGCAAGAGTCAGCGTGGAGTAACGCTACATTCAGAGCCAGGATAGCAGCAAATGCTGCAGGAACAGCCCTGGTGTCCGTCTCAGGAAAGAGCACATCCTCCACAAGCCTCTTGAGTCACAGCCATCAAGGCAAGCATGCCAGGTGTTCCAGAGCAGCACACGGACACTTACGCAGATACCACCAAATTTTATTTAAGTATCAGGTGTTACAAAAGTTTTGGCTTTAAACTCTTGTAATTAGTACTCCTAGAAAAACAATCTTCAATTTAATCTACAGACAAGTTATCTGAGTTGTTTTAAGACTGAATATCATGCATTTGGAAACAGGAGTAGATAAATATGAGAACACCTGAAGAGCGAAGGCAGTTTGTGTTCCCGCAGTGGTGTCTCCAGGAAGCTCCAGGCAGCCCAGCCAGCCCTTTGCGCTCCATTCATGTTCTGCTAACGCTGACCTTCAGCTCTGCCACGTATTTATCCATAAAACCTGAAGGAGATTTTCTTGTTTTCTTTCTTCCCCTTGACACAAAATTACACAAAATTGGTTTCAGTAATTCTTATTTCTCCCTCTTTTTCTTGAAAGCATGAGCAATTGGACTGCTCCCACAGACTTGTTCCCTTGAGCTGGGCACGACTGCCAGTGCGGCTTGGGTCAGGGTCTCAGATGCCCGTGCTGTGTGCTCCGTTCTTCTGCTTGACATTCAGCGCTTTGTGAGCCTTAGCAATGAGGGAAATTTCCTTCCAGGTGAAGTTGGTGAAGATATTCAGGCATTTGGGGGATTTTTGCTTTTTTCCCCCACAAATAAACTGCAACACCTGTACAAGTACACATGCAACTTTAGCTATGACTTAAGTCAAAATGTGCCAGTGCCTACCTGCCAGATTTATACATTCTTAAATAGATTTTAAGACTATGCATCACAACAATTTTATGAGGTTTTTCCTTAGTCTCACAGGGCAAAGCTTCCATTAGAAATTACTAGGCTGATACAACCCACATGTTTGTTTGATAACCTTTGGCTGTCAAATACAACATGATCTAAGTCTGCAGGCTATGCCAGGCAATACAGCAGAAAACACATTTCACACAGAGTCATTGCACTTGCATCTCAAGAACTGTGTACCATTAAAACTGAAACACTGAAAGCTGGAGATACGTTTAATCAATGAAACCATACCATCTGATTATATTTTATATTCAGCTTTTATTTCTGCTTTCAAAAGTACTCAAAGTTAAAATAGGAAAAGTTCACTGAAAACTGAACATAAAAGCTTTTATGAGCTTTGTTTCTCCTTCTCCCACTCCATTCTCTACATACAATACTTGTTAGCATACTGAGAAGCAACAAACCTTGGATCAGTCATTATCTTAAGTGAGGATAGGTTTAAAGATTTGGATAGAGTTCAGCAAATTTCCCATTGACAGTGGTAGGAATGCGCTAGGAAAAAAAAAAAAAAAAGGAAAACAGAAGAAATGAGATTGTGCAAGGTACCCAACAAGGCAGAAACACACTTAATAAGTTTGTAATTTCAGGCAAGGAGATCAGAGATTCTACTTTAAAATTTTACTTGTATCCTGAAGAGTAATCTATGGACTTCAGTTTAAATAGCTGTTTTTGAAAAGAAATGGAAGCAGTTATGCTTAGCTGTTTCCACTGCAGAAGTCTATTCTTGAACATGATGAACTATGAATAACATCACAGAAAATGTGCAAAACACACAGCTCATTTCAATGCCAAATTCCAGTTGACAGACTCAAAACTAATCAACTGCAATTAGAACAGACTATGAGAAACCCAACTCATGACTTAAAGGTTTCATTTACAGTAATATAATTTCACTGACTTCAGCAGAAGTACTCCTGATTTACACTCTAAGAAGTAGACCCCAAACTTGGTATCTAAAACACTTAAATTAAAGAGGGGTCTTCATGGTAGAAAACTCCTGTCTGTGCTACACAAGAACAGGGGGGTGAGTTTAGGCTCTTAAGGCTTGTTTTCCAGTTCGGCCACGCTTGTTACTAAAGCACACCATAACCTTGGTTCATGGCTGGCAATGAGGTCTGGCTAGCTGCAAAGACAGAGGACGAGGTTCTTAGGTTTCCTCAAAGTCTGTGATGCAAATAAGCTCGCTTTCAGCTTTATTAATTTCTAGGAAAATTCATTTTCCCTCAAACCCAAGGACTAACCACTTAATCTTCTCTTCCAAAAGAGATTCATAAAACAAAAACATTACTGTGATTTTATGACTTTCAAAGGGAAAGTAATTTATTGTATATGGCTGACCTCAGCATCTTACCCCAAAGTTTTTACATGAATTTAAACAGAAAGTGATCTGTTAACATAAATTCTGTAGACTGGCAAATCTTGCCTTATATGATGGTGACTTCACATGTAACAGCAGAAATAAGAGTAAACGCCACACTGAAGGCTGTATTCTGGCCACAGCACACCAGGCATTTTAATCCATGACAATACATGCATAAAATCACAGACTGTTCAGAGATATGATAGGTCCAATACATAAATTCAGGTTTCAGACTTCACAAATACTTATCTTAGCGTTCATGATGGGTTGGCAAACGCTGCTTCAAGTTTTTTCTTCCAAATAAGCCAATGTTGAAATGCACACAGAGTATCATGAACCCAGAGGGTGTTTTTTGTTTTGTTTTTTAATCTAAATATTTTAGCTTCTTGTTTTCATAGTTTAAACACAAAGAAATCACTGACAAGCTCTATGCTAGAATTCACCAGAGTGTGGCTAAGTCTACTTCATTTTGAAAAAGCACTGATTTCATTTTGGTAAGATCTGGTATTCTTTCAGATAATAACCTTAAATGAGTAAGCCATTTATAGTTTGACTACGTTTTGTAGGCTTTTGTTAAATGCATTTACTATCAGGAGTTCCACAAATTTCAGAGTAAAGGAGCAGATGATAAAGTGTGTTTTTAATCTTTTAGTACGATACATACAGTGAAAATATAAATGCACCCTTCCTGTGATGCACAAACAGCTTTGAAGAGAATTCTGGTAGGAAACTTTAATGCTCAGGCTTACCTAAATGAATCAGGAGTAACCAGGGAAATGCGTCCAACATCCCTCATTTTGAACTTGGAAAAAGCTCTGACTCACTGCTTTATTTATTATACTTCCTAGTATAAGAAGTTTCACAGGATCAACTTTTATTCCTAAGCTTGTGTAACACTCCTCAATGCTCCAGCTCCAACCGCATTATGCACAAATACAATCTGCAAAACCCAAATTCCAGTAGTGCTTATTCCTTATATTGCAGCTACACCCGGGCCTCTTCCTAAATTGCACTAATAAAATCATGAGCATTTCAAAGCTTGCAATTTAATTAGGTGATTTTTTTAAGAACAGATTTAAGTCCTTTGCATCTGACAGCAAAGAAGCAAGTTTCATTAGTTTAATATTTAATGTGCATTTGTTTCACCAAAAGCATTGATATTTTTACTTAGCTTTCTTTTTTTCTATTAAAATAAAGGAGAAAGAATTAAGGGGACCAAATTTTATTTCACTTTTATGCTGTCTTTAAACTGGTAAAAAAAAAATACAAATTGTGTCATTTTTCTTTTTTCAATCCTCCAGGATACCTACACAATTTCTATACAGCTTGCAGAAAATAAAGTAGCTCTGCACATGAAAATATGAGATGAAGAAATCATCTTTCATCAGGTTTTTCATGACAAGGCACTTTTACAGTAAGAAAAATTCTGACATGGTTAAACTACATTAACATATTCAACTACAAATGAACTGAAAAATCAGCATCAAAACCTTAAATGCATTCTAAGCCACTCCAGCTTACATGTAATTAGGACTGTAATTAGTGGGAGGTGGAGTAGGGATAAAGAAATCTCAGATTTTGTGCAAGTCCAGTCTGGTTCAAACCTGAAGATTTAAAAAAAATAGTAAAAATTAACACATGCTTTCAAAATTCATCTGTAAATATTAGAACATGGATAAGAAATCAAAAACTGTTGCAATACAGAGGAAGGGTGGTCATCATCTTTTATAGGTCAGCATTAAGAACATTAAAAGTGATACCTGAAGTCAATGCGTGTCTGCTAAGAAACAGGTGCAAATGCAACAGGTTGACATACAAGGTAAATATAACTCTGTTGACTAGAAACATACATAATTAAAATGAAAAATACAGCAAAATAGACTGGGCATGAAAGTAAGAGATACAAAGTTTTAGCAGTAACCAAATCACAACCCACAATCTAAGCATCCATTTGTATTTTCTGCAATGATAAGTTACGAAAGAATGTCTTCCTACAGCCCCAGAAGACAAAGATTTAGTCACACTTGAATATTTTTAATGAGATAACATCTTTCCTTCCTTTTACTTAGAAGTCATACATAGAAAGAAAAGACTACAGCACTACCTTCCATGTAAGATTCTACAGTACAGGCATTTTGATGAAATGTCATTTTTCTACTTCTACACAGCTTCTGCCCAACACTTGTTGCTGTGACCGTGTAAAATGGACTTAAAGCACAGTATTGCAACCTTGCCAGATTTCCATGGGCGTATCTTGGTGGGCCAAGATCTTCTCAAAAGGCCATACAACAAAACGATGCTGAAAGGAGTACTCTAAGCAGTCCATGGGAGTATAGCATACCAGCCTTACGTCTTCTTAAGCATGCAGTAATCAGTAATATCTAAATCATTCCTCTGGCCACAGGTATGGACTGTTTTTCAAAATATATTAGCCATGTATATGAAACGTGTAAGCCTCTGGAACAAGGTCATTATACACATACTGCAAGTTTACAGCAACTTGCCAGCTTCTGAGAGTGTCCCTTTAAAGGGATTTAAGAGATTTCATGGCATTTCTTAGTTTTCTCCCATAGAATACAAAAAGCCCTATAGCAGGAGGTAAGGATAATCTAGGAATAGCAAGCTAGGAACACGTTTGTTTTTTTTTTTTTTAAACAGCATGTTTGAAATTAGCTATGATTTTAAATAGTCATTAATGCAACAGACAATTCTCCTACAAACCATGCCACATACCTGTAAATGACAGAACAAAGCCCTTACTCATATTAAGATAGCAGGACTTCAGAAAACAATGGTGGATGCTCAGCCTTCTCTGAACATCTGCAAATACACAGGACAAGTTTATTCTCTACAGAAAACAAGCCTTGCACTTAAGAGTCAGCAGCGACACACAAATGTTTCCAGCATTTAACAGTACAACAGTGATCCCTTACGGTAGCTGTAGCACGTAACAGCGGTTCCAAGGGGCCGGTTCCTTCCTCGCGATCTAAAATACACTGGTGTAGCCTCCTTGTGGTTTCAGGTGCAAGTAAAACTCAAATAGAAACGGTTCTACAGAGGCATCTTGCAGAACTAGATGGCTCTTTTAATACCAAAGTAGGTTATTCCCCCCTACCCCCACGTTGAGACCCAAAATGGAAGCCATAAATTGTGTTAATTGGTCTTTCCTCTCATGCTTGATGACAGCATAAGAGGAAGGAACTCATTTGTGGAATGGAAAAGATTACTTCACTGAAAGGGTCAAAGAAACCACAAGCATTATCAGAGAACAGTACCTCAACAACAATTACCTGTGTATTAAGGTCAAAGACCTTGCTACTCAAACAGAGGATGGCAGCTACTCCTTGCAACCTGGGATATTTACACTGCAGGTTGGCACTAGCAAGTCAACTTCCAGCTGGGAAACTTAAGCATTCTTCAGTGTTTCATGTGGTAAGGCTCGTGATTCTTACTCAATTCCTACCCATCCCTGCCCCAGAAACTAGATTTTTAAAGAATAGGAAGACACGCAAGATGCAGCTGTGTCTGTTTCAAACCACTTCGACTATACAAACAAAAGGGTCAATGCAGGCAAACGACAGAACGCCAAGCTAAGAGACCAAAATTAAACAAATGTCTATGGAAACAGAAGCTTACCCCAGATTTCTTTGCTTAGTTAACTTAGGTGTTCTAGTTTGGCTGTTTAATGTGCACCTATTTTCTCAGGAAACAAAGAAAACAGCAAAGTTATATGTTTTCTACATTTTTAATTGTAAAGTAAAATTATTTTAAGCAAAGTCATAAAGCAAATTTGTTTCTGAATGCTCACAACCCTTCAGATACTGCTGCACAATCTGCTTAAGCCTGTCATGATTCTGAATGTGTTCAACAACAGGAGTTGGTGTTCTTGGTGCTGCTCATGTACAACACTTGTCTAGCATGTGCACCACTTCATTTCACCACTCCTTCTCACTTTCAATCATTCTCCTTCCCCTTCCCTGCAAGTGGCTGGAAAGGACAGCTGCTGAGTACCTGGGATGAGTGAGAATCTGAGTTTGTGCAAAGGGAGGTGACAGGCACTGTGAGCAGAAGCAGGATACCCCAGTTCAGGTGAGCAACTCTGAGCTGAAGCTTTCCTCCTTGTCCTGTATCTCCTGGAGAGCTTCTCTGGGAAAAATGGAGAGATTAAAATGAAGTGCCAGAGGTTAAAGAGCCTTGGGTCCTCCAAAAGCCCTCTGATCCCTTGTTTCCAAAGGGCTGAAATAATTCAGATGCTATCGTCCTTTAGTACAGAAAGGCAGACTGCACTGAATTCCTTCATACAATTCCATCACGTGTTCTTCTTCAAAACAAGACTGCAACGTAGGTGTCTTAATGAATGACAGCCTGAACACTAAGAAACAAGGTGAAGCGATGTCTCTTCTCACAGCTTATCAGCAATACTTAATAACCAAAAAGGCTCAGACAAGCTTTAATCAAAGCATGAGTGGCGGTGTATTTCAGCACAAATAACTTGTATTCAAATAATCATTACTAATATCAACTCAAAACTTTCTGAAACACTACCCTTTAAATGTCAGTAAGCACAGAGCATGTCATCCACATCCATGATCTAGATCAGTATGTATCCTCAGGAAGATGACACAATCAGTGTTTACTCATCATCATGAAGCCCTATTTCTTTTTTAGAATAAAACATTCAGAAAACATTTTGAACATTGTCTTTGACGTGAAGTGACGGTAGAAAGGGAAAAAAAAAGATTTCATCCAGGTGACAAATACTGAAAAACACAAACACCTTTTTAATTCTTTCACTTATTTTTTTTCCCAAAAAGCAATCAACTGGATTCATGAGTTGGTTGAAATCACACATCACAAAAACCCCTCCAGCAGCTATTGCTTTTCAGATGCCTTTTTATGAACAGGAACATTAAATAGTGAAACCCCTAGTTCTGCCAAAGTGTAACAGGCACCACTCCATACGATCAGAATAGATGTTCAGTTTCATAAGAACATTTTGCTTTTGCTATCAAAACAGCTGTCCAGAATAACTTCAAACACCCCATGCTGTGTCTACCTATATATAAGTATATGAATCTTCATATAGACACATACATGTATGAAGATTCAAGCTGAAACAAGACCTTTAGTTCTTTTCAAATCCCATCCATCTATTTTGAAGCACACTGAATAAAAGATTGCCTATACCTTGCTATTTATGAACAGTGCAACAAAATCTTTTATTGCTGACCAGGAACAGTTCCATGTAACAAAGACCTGTGCCCTTGTTCAAAAACAGTCAGATCAGAAGCATCAGACACTAATTATGTCCATACAGTTTAAGTCCACTTCCTTGTGTACAAACACAAGAAAAAACAAATCGCTCATTTTCTTCAAAACTCAGCCTTATTCACTGTGAGATTTTTTTGGTAAGTGAAATGAGAAATGATTCTGACACAGTGAACAGCTGTCTTATGAAGTTAACTTACTAAGGAAGCAGGTTCTGCAGGAAGAATATAATTTAAAATATACACAAGGAGGCAGGACCGATGAAAAGCTACACAAAACCTTAGATGTACAGCCTTCCTACTGCAACTCTGCAAAATACAAATTGGCTTTCCACAAAAAAATTGTAAATAAAACATCTTTTACATGGTTTCAAGTGCATAGTTTACAGGTTCAGCCTTATATACCTTTTGTCAGTTTTACAGCGAAGAGGGACAACGTTTTGACAGATGACAAGAGGATAAGCCCTTTATCATGTTTCACTTTTATTGAACATTTTCTGCAAATGCAGATTACAACCTTGCTTCAGGTTGCACGCATCAACGTAAGCCATGATAAATCAATGCTTTTTGAAATTCAAATCCTAGCGGTAAGGGGTTAGGTAGTGGTTGATTTCTGTAGTTAGAGAAATTACAACAGTGTAACAGTCATTCATAAAAGCAGTATGGTGCAAGAGGCTCTTTGGTGCCAAAAAGTTGTCAGTAATGCATTTACGAACGCTACTGAGTAGAAAGCAATCCAAATTACAACTCTTCCTCGCAGTGCTACAGAAACATTAAAGGACCCTGGAGACTCCCGTATCTTGAGTAGTCTGCGAAGAAATATCACCATTAAAGAACAGCCGTATAAAAGCCAAGGAGAAAAGACTCAAAGGAGAAAGTATATCCTATCTGTCATCCTGAAACACAGGTCAGGTAACGCCCAACCCCGCACCAGGCATGTTATTTAATCAGATTCAAAGTGAAGTCCATACTGAGACCTGAAAGATCACTGCCTTAAACTTACGCCCACTTATATGGGCATTACGTGGCAATGTACTTGCAACACCGAAATCTTCAGTAGCGCCTAAAGAACATACTGCTTACACACCAGCATGTATCCAGAACAATCAGAACTCAAACACCTAGAATTACGTAGAAACCCCAGATTTCAAGTGAAGTCTAAGAAACCCTAAAATAATTTGCAAATTCACAGATCTAACTCATGATCATTTTTTTTGAAACCAGATGAGTTTAACAAAAATGCAGACTTACTTGTGATTTTTTTTTTCCAAACTACAATGTATAGGCCGATCCTCGCGTAGATATACACATATATACAAAATTTATAGAAAAAACAAGAGTCCTGTGGATGAGATTCCTAACTTCAGCAAAAGAACACAACACACATGATAAAGGAGAAACAGAGATACATGGCCAGTTCTGTCATCACAAGCACTTATGGTTCCACGCTAACTTCAGTCATTATTGCATGCATTAGAAGCCTGGAGTTGCAAGTATCTCTGAGTACAGTTGAACCAACTGACTAAATTGCTCTTCCACAATATCTCACTTTCAACCTGATCTAAAATTCAAGGTACTATTAAACACGTCAAGTAGAAGAGGAAGAAAAAAACCTCATGTCGTTTGCTACAGCATTAAGTGTTGTTAATTGCACAACCTGGCTGGGTTTAAAAAAAAACTGCAAGTTTCTATTTCAAAATCTATTCCAACTTGCAACACCTGCACAGAAAGAAACAGAAAAGATAAAATATACAGCTTCTCAAACACTCCTTTAGAACTACAGCACCTAAAATCAAACATTCCACTTCTTTTAAAATGCAAGTTTGCTTCACTGGTCTACCACTGCAAATCCTACATTTAATCGTGCTGCCTCAGTGTATTTCTGAATACAGCTGAAACATTTGCACCCCCTAGCTGTCATAGGTAAGAGACAGTACTTATATCTAACTTACATTCATTTTCAACTTCAAATTTATTGAGGCAGTTTATATCAATGTATCCATAAAATTATTCAGAAATAACCCAAGTATACCATTTAAACATCTTCATGATTTATCCATTTACACACTCAGTACACAAACAACCCAGCCTCTGTACAGGTTCATCACATGCAAACCACCCATAAAGACAAAAACTTTAATTAAAAATAAGTCACAACTCAGTGTACTGTTTCAACTGCATCTCCATTTACCAAATGGCACATTGAATATTCTCTAAAATAAGATGTTTTTAACAATCTTGTTAAAAAATTCTTGGGCAAAATATTTCTAGACTTAAAAAACATCAAGATTTTTCAAAACACTCAAGATACTATACAACTTATAATAACCTTGAAATAGGTTTACAAGGTTGTTAACCAAGGTATTTACATACCAAATAATGTAAAGCAAAAAATTCGTATTTCTAATGACAAAAAGGTGATGCATTAAAGATTTATGAAATTAAAATTAAGGCTCTTTGTTATAGTTCTTTATGTAACTTTACATAATAGCCAACTTTGGAAATGTCAGTCTTGCACATTCTTGTCAATCTACTGCATTTAAAGCAGTAGAGTATATTAAGTATTACTTTGAATAATTACATTGCTACCTCTATGTTTGAGCATGCTTTTGAAACACTGTAATTATGAAATATTTACAATGTGTAGCCTTCAAACTTTATGTAAAAGTACAAGTATGACTGTCTGATTTGAATACAAACAACATACCTGCAAAAACTTCTTTAATTCTCAAAATTAAACGCAAACTCCTACAATCTTAATAAGCAAACCAGCTCTGAAAAGTTATAATATGTGCCTGAACGTGGACAGAAGTTATGTGAAATAACTCAGACAGTACTGTTTTTCATTTCAGACCAAACTATTCTTTGTATCATACTCTGTTTTCTTTAAGCATGTAGAAAAATTAAATATTTTTTAAAAAAATTATTCCAAGACCTACGTATGCTTTCAGAGCGATGTCCATAGGTTTCTTGAAAAACCAATACTGTCTAGCAGGTTGTAATGATTGGTCCACAGTTTATTTCAGGATGTGTGTTCAACTAAAAGCAACTTGCTGTTTTGTTTTTCAACGTCATTTCTCTTAAAAAGCACAGTGATATAAAACACTGAAGACAGAACAAAAAAAATGGAATGGTAACCTAAGGATCAAATTCATTAGCCATTTCTCCTACTATATCAAAATTTGTAGTCAGAATTGTCTTTATTGACTTTATTTTTAATTTTTTGTACACAAAGAAAAACATGTTCATATCCATCATGAACAAAAACTTAAAAAGGCAGAACTAGAAGACATTTGTGTCCTTCACCAAAGCAAAGCTGTGCTAAAGGTTCCAAACATTTCCATTTTTAAAATAAATATTTTCTTTTTTTCATTGTCTACATTCCAGTCTTCAGAGCATCACTGGAAACTGCGGCCTATCATGAAATACACACTTTTAAACAGAGTCCCAGCTCACTGCGTTTGGTAGCTTGCCATACCATATCCAGCTTGGTTAGGTATTACAGGAGCACCTTGTCCCTGGGCAGGCTGAGCACCAAATCCACCCATCCAGGCAGCAGATGGAGATTGGCTTAAAAAGGAACAGGAAAAGAAAAAATAAAAGAAAAAAATCATGCAAGCTAGTCAAGTTATTTACAAGTCAACAGACCAAAAAAAGAACATAAAACACACTTCCTACGCTACCAGTTACACCAAAATAGAACATTTTATTCTTCTGTGAGTAATTCAGAAGCCTTTTATACCAGGCTAAATGCTGCAACATGTGGTTTCTGAGAACACCATAAGCTTTAAGAGGGGGGGAGTACTGGATACTAGTTAGAGAGAACAACCACCTCCAAAAGGCACGAATACAGGCATGTGTCTGTAATTCCACACCAGTGATGCAGAAATGCAAAAAATCCCCAATGCCTAATTGGCAGGAATACCACTGATAGGTTTCTCAGGGCTTTCTCTCTTGCCAATTAAACATTATGAGAAATTAAACAAAGAAGTTATTTTAGAAGTGTTTTAAAACAAAAAATTCTGGTGAAGGTTTCAAGTATTAAGAGTCCAGCCAAATTCTGAAACTGCAAAAGGGATGTTAGGTAGTTTCTTTCCTCCTCAGTCACAATCCCTTTGGTAAACACCAGGGCTCCACAGTTTAGATTTCTCCACCACAAGTCAGAATCTCAAACTTTTAGGTAACAGACAAGACCACCACCTGAAACTCCAACACAGAGGCAGTCTTTGTTAACTTTGAGTCTCAAGACACCCATATGCACAAAACGTCTTATCAAGAACAAGCCAGAGTGACTCACCCCACCATTTGGTCCATGGTAATCATTAAACATAAGCTTTAGCATGCAACAAGGCTTGACACCTTGTGCAATCCTCAAATCAAATGAGCCTGAAGCTCAGACACAACACTATTGGAACACTCTACAAAAAAAAGTTAAGTACGATTACTCACTCTACTCCAAACCCCTGCTGATTCCAGGCCTGGCCGTACATTCCATATGACGGTACTTGCCACCCGTTGGCCATGTACTGCCCGTACTGCTGGGGATTTCCGTATACTTGGCTCCATTGCCCCCACTGACTGTAATCCACCTAAGGAGAGAAGAATTCTTAGCTCTTCAGGTTCTAGAGGTGGATTATGTTCCTTTGCAGCTGCTAGAGGCAACACTTTTGACTGTCAGTCACGCTGGCTAAGGCTATTTAGCCACAGTAAATAAATAAAAGTGAGACAGCACTGCGACTAATTAGATCCTCGTACTGGAAGTGTGCACGCACAAGTGCTTTAAATACCAAGGGATGTTTGGTTGGATGGTCAGCTAGTCTGCGGTAAGAGGGCTAGCAAGAATCAGAATTACCTCCAAGTTTCTCCCTATCTTGAATCATATCCAGCAGACAGTACCAGATATTCCACCAAAATCACTAGCCCAATTTGATGAACAACTGGAACATAACTGAGACAGAACGTGGAATTTTGTAAGAATCCTACTACAACGTTTAGCTGTTATAATTGGGATGTGTTACAGATAATTGCTTGCTTTTGTGATACAAATACAAGAACAAACAAAGAAAAGGTTAAAATGCCGTTACCTGTTGGAAGTTTTTAGTCATATCAGGGGACTCTTTACCCCAATAACATTTAACAACATGTCCTTCAATTGTGGTTCCATTAACTGAAACAATAGCATGTGCTGCACTTTCATGGGTTGAAAATCTAAAGAATGTAAAAACAAACCAGTGTTATGCTTCATAGTCCTGTCAGTGCGTTATTAAAAAAGTGACTCCATACATACAGGAAAATCCCAAGAAGAAGATCTGCTTTCACAGATTTTCATCTTTTCAAGTAAAAAGATTGGTGGCTGCTTAAGAGTTCCAAATTTTTCTATGAACATATGGCAACAGCTCTTAAGGCATCAGCTGAAGTTCATTCATGGGAAATTATAGGAAGATGAATCAGTACTACCTTAAAATCACAGATTTTCTTTGTGCATACCTGACAAAAGAGTAACCTTTTTCAGGAAACACTCTGATTTCCATAATCTGTCCAAACGGTGAAAAAGTCTGTCTCATAAGTTGATCTACAACACAGAACATTTCTGAATTAGTAGCCCTCTTGGTGTCCACAAAGTTTCAGCAATTAAAGAAGCAATAAAACAAATCGTACCTGTTAGCCCAGAAGCGATTCCTCCACAGTAAACAGTACAATTTTTTGGACTTGACTGATTTACTACGTCTTCAAATCTCAATTGTTTTGTGTTATCTACAAAGAGAGAAGGCCGCTTTTAAGCATCAGGCTAGTAGTAACCAGAGCCCCAGATACTTACCTTGTACAGATGTGTGAATTATGCATTTAACAAACATCCAATACTTTATGATAGAGCAGCAGTGCCACCACTACATTGACTTAACATACCAGAAAAATCTATTCTTTAAGATCTGGAAGCCAAACTAGATATTCAATTAAGTGACATAATTGTGGCAGCACAGTTTCATTCCTCCATTTAACAGTATGCAAGAGACCAAACACCACAGAACTTTACAGAAAGCTCTTACTTTCTTGTGTACTTTTGGGGGCTGGTGGTTTCCGCGTTGCCCAGTTAGTTCTGATCTGACGGCCTCCCAGCCACTGGCCTCCCATGTGTACAATAGCATTTTCTGCATCCTAAAGGGAGGAAAATAAAGACTACGAATACATACAAATAAGAAGTACGTATAAACCTATGCATAAGATTTGGTTATCAGCTAATTCCAGCAACTGCTAAAAAGTACATGAAATTCTGAAAAATCTACCCAGTAAGCAGACAAAATCAAGTAACATCAAGAAAACGGTTACATAGGAAGGCCCTCACAAGCAATTTGGAAAAGCTTTCTCCCTGTTCCCATGTTCTTTATACAGAGCCAAAGCCAACTGCAGTCGTATACACACAGATACTTGTTGTGTAAAGGTAGTGTATCAGAGTCTATGATGGCTGCCCCAAGAAAGTGCAAGGGTCATAGAGATGCCAGAAGCAACTATTTAGATGAAAGGACTACAGTTTTAATTACAGAAAATAAAATGATTTTGCCAATTGACTGTATCACCAAAAACATAATACACAAAAGCGTATTTGATAGTAACAGATGAAAAGTAAAGACAGACTTTTTAATCGTCATTTAATAATCCCTCACTGAGAAATTTCTTGGCTGTAACCCAACTGAAGTTTATACCACAAAGTACATGCTGCAGAAGACATGATATAAAATAGAAATGCTTCAATGTGGCCTTCTAGAACCTTAATAGGCACTTATTGTAGAAGGTCAACTTTAGGCAGATTTAGGGAGAAAAGTTTTAAGTTCAGGGAAGGCTGAATAATGTGTTAATATAATGCTGGGATAGAAATCCACTGAGCTTGCAGTTTCCTATTATTTGCCCCTCTACCCCCCTTCCTCTCTTCTGCCCTTAGAAGGTATGCAATTTACAAAGCAGTCTACCCTCAGACATACCTTCTGTAAGTGTTAAAGTCATTTTATGTATGCAACACACAAACACCCAGAAAAAAACAAACAGTCCACAGCCCACACAGCTTAACACCTTATCTTGAATATAAGCTAACAGACAATCTCTAAGCTCACGTTGTAAAAAAGGAAACGTTTGCTAACTCTGCAAGAAGCAATCGTATTTATTTCCCCTCAACTCTTTTGAAAGAAGAGAGGCAGAGCAAATAGTACATATGCTTGAAATGCTTTTCCAAGGGCACAAAGCTTAAGAAAGGAAGTAAAGCACAAGGGACCAAGGGAACACGGGGACAATTTAAAGGTGAATGGCTTGCAGCTCCCTGCCCCACACTGACGGTTTTCAGGACAGACTCATCTCAAATACTAATGACTCAGGAACTCAATCCTCCTCTTTTAGTTATACCCAGTGGTCATTTTGAAGGCAATACGTAAATACAATGATGAATTTATGAGAGAACACCAATAGAAAAAAAACTTGCATCCTTGCTCCTAAGACACAGTAACTTCCAACCAGACTAGGAAACCAAACCAGCTCAAATTCATCTCACTGCTAGTCTTGATGATCACAGGTACAATAAAAATGGAACCAAGACCATGCCATAACTGTTTTAGTCCAATGCAGCAGTTTAATTTTCTCATAATTGTGGTGTGCATTGAGACCTTAATGGGTAAGGAAAAACACCCCATATTGTCCTAAATGTATCTTTAAACAAACACTACTCAGTTTTCCAAATCCTTTCCAGATTTTTTTTTAATTAACTTCAAAATTACCTAGAATAATATGCTGCAGCTCTTGTATTGCTGTAAGTAGCAGGACATTTTACTGAGGTGCAGAGCTCAAGGAAGCATGTTCAGCTGTACTTCAGTGTATGCCACGCATGCAGCAGCATTAGGTCCCCAGCAAGACTGAACTTTGGTGTGAACCGAAACCTGCCAAACACTAAGCCCTACTGCGTAACTGCATGCACAGCTTGGGACTGAGGGCTCCAGGGCTTCACTTTGTTGGGCTTCTACCCTACCACACCAAACCACACTGGACAAGGTGCAGTGCCTCAGCTAGCAGACCCAAAATACAGCATCCCAAAGCACTAGGCCCAGGAGCAGATACTCCACTCGCTCTACAAAAGATGGCTCAACAGACTAATCCCAACTCCAGCACACCCAAACAAGCTTTCTGCATTCTGGAATCTTTCTTCAGAATGTTCTTGCACCATTGCAGTCATCTAAACTCTTTCATAATTCTTTTATCCCTTACCACAAATAATGGAAGTTTGATTAAACTGTCTTCTAAACACAAATTTCCCTTGAGAAAAAGTCTGTTATGCAGTGAATATATAAACAGGAAAAACTAAAAGAGGAAAAATCTGCAATTATTTTCAATTTACATTGTGATTACTCACCAGTTTGTTATAAAAAGATACAAAACCATAGCCTTTTGACTTTCCAGTTGCCATATCTTTAACTACCCGTGCATCCCTGTGAAAAGAAGCACAGCTATATGAGGGCAATATTAACAACCAGCAAAATAAAAACTAAAAGGAACCACACACACTGTATTGTGAGCATAATTTTTCTTATAAATTCAGTTAGCCCTAAAACTAGTCATTCCTGAACTCTCCCTATTGCTTCTTTACCTGTTAGAAAAAAGCAGTAGGACAAAAAAAATAACATGTAATAGACATGCAACCTATCCACATAACCTATACTGGCTAAAACTAAAATGTTCAAATTGGAAGTATAAGAGAAACAAATTTCCTTTTCTAATATTCTATTGGCTAGGGTCCACTAAGGTTTACTGTTCTATAAATTACTGTAACAATTCTATCTAATTTACCATGCATTTTCTAAATAGTTAAATGTCTTCTGCCTAGTGATACAAAATATATGAAATATTAAAAAAATCGAAAAAGAGGAAAAAATAGGAATTAAAAGGCATACATGGCCTGTTAACAGATTTCTTTATTTTTCTTGGTCAATTCTCTACCATCATTTTGGAGTTTGGGCAGCTGTAAATTTTGAAAAATTGACATTTTCAGAAATTTAAGAAAGGAGAATAAAACTAACAACAATGCTAAGCACACCAGTACGAAAACAACAAATTTACACAGAAATTTTAGTGAGTAAGTTAAAATGATTGGAAATATAGAACTGCACTGAATATAGAATGTTAAAATGTAAATACTAAAATATGTATATATAAATAATGTATAATAAGAATAAATAGAAATGAGAAAAAATCTACAACTGAGTTCCAGTGTGCACAGTTCCTTGCAGTTAGCCTTCAAGATCCTGTCCATTCTTATGAGCAATTCTGCAAAATAACCAGAATGCTATTACTTTTAATTGTGACTTGGACTTTAGAAAAACTGCAGGTCTCAGGTATAAATATAGATTGAGAAACAGAAACCTGAATTATTCTCTTTATATCGATTTTTAAACAGTACTACTTACCACATTAAGAGACAAAAAAGCAAAGTAAACAAAATAGCAGAGGTAAGATTTATGATTCATTTAAAAATATGTGTACAGAACAAGAGAAAAATAAAAACTCTGTTCTTAGAAATATATTCCTGTAAAATCATATAAAAAATTCATGTGCAACTTTAAAGGATTTCTACGAAGATAAGCTGATAACAGATTAACAAGCTTTTTGTAGCAGTACTCTTAAATATATATTTTAGAATTCACACGCATTCTTTTAATGTTAAATATGTTCAATTGAAACTCCAGATGATTTATTATCACCTGAATTTTCTGAGAGAAGTATAAAGAAACTCTCTCAACTGGCAGAAGTGTGCACATACTATAAATCCAACATTTTTTATTTTAAATATAATTTTAATTCATCATATCTAGAAAAGTAATTTAATTTCCAATATTAGCTTTTTTCAAAATTTTCAGAAGTTCGACAACAATCTGCTTCATAAAATTATTTAATTGCCTAGTGTTCGATACTGCCTATAAAATGCAGTACAAATGCATTTAAAATATGCTGAAGATGCAACATATACCACTTGGAAAATCACTATTCTGTACACATTCCAAACAATAAAAGAATCACACTTAGAAACAGTAATTAAACTCTAATAAAAAGTTGGAAGATATTAGTACATAAAGTTAAAAGCATATTCCTTTCAGCAAAATTGAAGCACAATTGCATTATTGTATATACATACATGTGATACGAATACCAAGATAAAAAGACAATCCCTCGTTACTGCCCACCCAACACAAAGAAATTAACATCAGAAAAAATATCTAAGAGATAAGAAATAACATTTCAAATCAGAACCACATTTATACTGTCAGATTTCCTAACTAATATCAACAATGTTTATTATGATACTTACGATATTTTACCAAAAGGAGCAAATGCTGACTTGATGTCTTCTGTTGTTATTTCTGGACTTAAATCCCCAACGAACACATGGAAGTGATCTGAAAATAAATAATTTACTAATCAAATATTTAACTGCTATCTACAGTTTTAACTCCTGAGAAAGTGATGCTCTGCGTACAGCACTGGGAACCAGGAACGCCCACGATTCCACTCGATGAGCAGCAGCAACTAAACGCGTCCACTCCAGTTTCCCCAGTTGTAAAGCAGAAAACAGAAGAATTAGTTTGCAAAGTTCTATTAAACACAAGATGGGAAGGAGAAAAGTTATGTTTAAATGCATTTATGGCAATCACTACCCACATGTTATTAAGTATTTGTGTAGAAGTAATACTGTGCCATTACTTTACTTACTGGATGTATCTTTTTTCTGGCTACTTGGTGTTGTTGCCCAGTTTACTTTGACCTCCTGAAAATAAGTATAAGATTTAGTATAAATTAATAAAACTCTTACATTTTGTAATGTAATTTAAGGGTTGGTTACAACTGTCAATGTTTAAAAAATCATCACTCAATATAAAAGACTGGAGCAATTAAAATAAAGAATGCTTCCTAAATAAGATTTTTTATTTTTAAATCAATAGTATTTAATTCTAATAATATTTAATCTTTCTCAACATCTCTAACACAAAAAAATCCCATAGATTTTTTTATTTACAAGAACTTATTTCCCTTGAAATTAAGATTACAATATAAACAACTTACCTTTCCCAAAATTTTTCTCCCATTCATAGCAGCTAATGCAGCAGCTGCATCTCTGTGTTCATAAAATTCCACAAAGCAATAAGGGTCATTGCTTGTATGCTGCAAAACAGAAAATCCAACAGAAGAGTTGACCCTTCTGCTATCGGGTTGCTGAGAAGAAAATCCAGGAAAATATATTACTTATAGCTAGAAACGTTAAGAACGATTTGCATCAGATTCATGAAAAAGCCTTTGAAATTATACTTAAGTGTAAGAATTCTTAAGATGGGCTTCTTAATGGTCTAGCAATTTCTGAAGCATTGTTTACTTTATATGAGGTCTCAGTACTGAACTAAAAATAATTCATCTACCAGAAAGGTGATCTGCAGACTGGATGGAGAGGAGGGAAAAGGGGAAGAGTAGAGAGAAGAACAAAATTAGTCTCCTGCCTCCAATATATACTCATAGCCTGAAAAGGTTTGTTCCCCACATACATTTTCACCAAATTTTCTCTCTACTCCTGTTTAAAAAGCTTTCTTTTTATTTACCTGAAAATCATTAGTAGAGCACACTAGTAGAGGTTGCATATTCTTGGCCTCAAGTGAAAAATGTTACACCTAACAGCTGGGAAACACCCCTTAAAAGGGGCTCAAAATAATTAACGATCAAGAGGGAAGACACTGATCAACTGATTGCTATTCTCTTGCATCTGGGATATAACCTGCTTTTATACACTGACTTACCAACTCTTCTTTAAAAACACTAACTCACAAATAAAGCTCCCTAAATCAGGATATGAAGAGCAAAGAACACGAAAGCCTTCAGAACAGATGATCAAGTGGAAATGACTACGAGACACTGGATTTAAATTCTGCCCAAAAATGCCATGAGTACAAGAGCTAGGGCCTAACACTTGAAACACTAAACACTTGAAAACACTAGCCACTTAGTATGGCCATGCCATATCTTCTGCAAATGAGAAGGGAAAAAGTGAGTGAAAAAAAAACAGTTGATGCAAACAGCTAAAGAGAAAAAACACAAAAGGAAAACATTCAGGTATAAACTCAACTGACTGAAGTAGTAACAATGGGCAGGTAAGAACTACTGAAACGTAACAGCAGCTATGAAAAGTTTAAAATGCAGCGATTAGAAGGATGGGCAATGTCAACAGGCACTTTTGACAGCTACACGCATGACAGCTGCAGGCCAATTCCAGTCTAGAATCCAACCACTTGAAGTTACCTGGGAAGTCAGTTTCAAGGTGTAAGCGTATTACTTTGATAGGACTGTAAAGGACTTGTTTGTTGTTTTTTTTGTTTTTAAATACCCAAACAACTAACATGCTATACAAAAATGTTTAAAACCTTTAAAGTACGCAGGTGAAGGCACTGCTAGTATTTGTAGCTCATGCTGTTTATGGTTATCACTTTGACAAGTTTACAACTCTACCTGAAAAAAGATACTGTCCTCCCTCTTATTTTCTCCATGTCTCATTCTCTTTGAACCAGAGAGTAATTACAGGGCATTGCTCTATATCAAAACCCATTTCCAGCAGTATAAATACACTATTTACAGTACCTCTGAAATGCAAACATACCCTAAAGGATGCAACAAAATACCCCTCCTAGGTATTCCAGAGGTGAAAACCACTGCCCTTTCTATCTTCAAGATATGAATTCCCCTCTCACTAAGATCTTTTTCCACCCTCCCTTCTTTGTGAAGTCTGTCAGGTGGCTTTGGGGCAGTGAAGGCAGACAGCACACTGAGCAAATGGGTGCTGAACTTCTCCAAATTTCATACACTGCTTGGGGACAGGTGCTAAGGTCAGCCGAGCACATTTACCTCCTAACACCTGAAGCCAGCTGCAAGTGGCTTTTTGGTTACACATTTATTTCATAAAGATGTCTTGCTTATTTCTGTGGTTATGCAAAATAAAACAAGCATTGGAATTTCTCATCCACTTTGTAGCAAATCAGAGTGATGCCAACACCTCTCACTCAGCCAGTGGCAGTACCCTATTTCTGAAGGGCATGGGACAATCACCATTTCTCTAGAGCAAAACCACCAAGAACATTCTGTAATGCATGCTACTTTCTTCTCGTCTTTCTCCTATAACCATGGCAGAACTCTTACCTTCACTAGAAAGCTTTAATAAAGGTGCCACGTGAGAAATTACTAGTTAAGTCAAAGATGAGAGTGATTTAACAAGCATCAGGTTAATTTGTGGCTAAAAGCAAAAAAGCAGCATGCCACATTGAAAGGAAAAGCAGATCACAGAAGAGTTACTATCGTGGTGTTCCTAAGAGGATAAGTCTTGTGACCAAGCTCACTTAATATTTTCATTAATGTTCCTGACAAAAAAAAAAGGTGACCGTACTCATAAAATCTGTGATAACAACTTAGTAGAATCCACAAGAAGAGCACGCAGAAAGAAAAAGACAAACACAACAGAACCAAAAATTAAACCTAGCACAAGTTCTGATTAGTCCCTGCCTGCTAGAAGATTGTGGGTTATAAATAAAGAAGGAAGAACACTAGGCAGCAAAAAGTTGCCTAGGATATGTCAAGAAGATCACAGAAATAGCTACCAACCCTAAACATATCAGAGTGTTTACAAACGTGAGAGAAGAAAGTATTAATACTTACCAACACTTTGTACAAAACCTTATCTGGGATACTAAGGAAATTTTGTTCTAAGAAAAAAATCGTTTAAGAACAGCCTAGTGCGGACAAGACCTACTCCAACTTAAAGAAAAGGCTCAGGACATATTTCAAAGAATTTTTGACTGTCCTTCCATAGTGAAGAAGGAAAAATTACTAAGATTCTTGTTCAGATAAAGTCAAAAATGGAAAAAATAGTCATGGATAACACTGGAAACAAGAAAGTTTTTGATTATCAGAACAAGATGGTTCTGAAAAGAGAGGGCAGCAATCCTTTACATTAAAGCAGAATCTCATCATCAGTTGACAGCAGATATGGCAGGGCTACCAGCAAAAGTACAGGACTGTGCTCAACAACAGGTCTCTTCTGCAAAAGGGTATCAGAAACATAAACAAGATCGACCCCAGAAAACAGATTACCAGTAATGTCAAAATAAGCCCCCACAATTTTACCCTGAATTACATTATTGTTGCTACCCCTCTGGATGTGAAAGGCCTTACCTCTGTTATCATTTTACAGCTTTTGCATGGTCCGATCTGGCTGAATAACTGAAGTATAAGGACTTCAGTCACATCTCTGGAGAGGTTTCCTACATAGCTACACAAGGAAACAAACAAAAGAATTAAACCAGAACTTTTCACCTTTTAAAATGTTATTTTTTTAATCCTTAAATGACTATGAAAAAATCTCCCTTTAAAATCCCAGGCATCTTAAATTGAAATACATTATTTACAAATGATTTTATGACACAGCTTTAATGCAACATCCATGTGTTTTTTAAATTAAAAAGTTGGCAGCACAACTGAGAATGTGAAGCATGAAACAGACATAACACTGGACATCCGTATCTAGCACCAACACTTTCTTCAAAGCAGTGCCATGAGCAGGAAGAACACTGCTCGGGAATGTTGGATAGAGCAAGCCACCAACTGGGCAACAATGTTTTAAGTTTCACTTCCCACTGAGCATCTAATCAAGCCCACTTTTAATCTGGGTACGAACCCACAGCTAACGCCTCTTATTTCAACAGTAGCTATCGGACACAGACCGTGCTGTGCCTTGCAAGCAACCACCTCAGTTCTTCTGTTTTCCTGAAGTGGGAAACCTGGTGGCTCAGCAACAGGCAAGACAATCTGTGCAGCACCACGCCACAGGACCATCTAGCCATGTAGCTCAACAGCTACCACCTCTGTAAAAACTCCCCCAAGTTTTAGCAGTGTTATTTTAATATCACCCACACTTATCAAAATTTATTTATAAAGCCTTAGAAATTCCAAAACTTGGAATTGTTTTTATGAAGTTTAGATCGAGTCCTACAATTACACAAATAGTAAGAAAACAACCAACCAACCACACACAATAGCCAAGTTCTAGAACCATTCCTGGATACTCTGCTACGATTTAACACTCACAAAAAGTAAAACCAGGTCACAGAGATGGCTCAGAAAAAGTCGAACATACAAAACAGAACTTCTTTAAAAAAAGCGTGCCCAATTTGGAATCAAACTCCATTGGTACAGGAAAGGCACGTCATGTCAGCACAACTCCACATCAGCAGCTCAGGACTATTTGTTCTTTACAAAAATAAGCCCGTCAAGGTATAAGGTACACAAATACAACCAGCAACAAGAATGCAACTTCTGTGATCTAGCTGTTGAAAGAAAACACACATTTTATCCATTACACTCTGATCTACTATCCAATCCCCTAACAAGAAGTCATTGGGAGCTGTTAGCGCACTCCGGTGAGCTCCAACACGAGCCAGCAGCTCTCAGTCCATGTATAAGCCCGCTAAGCATGTGCCTCTCTCACTTACTGGGCATCCCTCGGAGTAAAAGTCTTAAAAGCTACTTCTGTGGTTGACAACTGGCCTGCCACTTAGCTCGAGCAAAATTACAACTGACACCGCTTGCTTTCATTTGAACACCACACAATGAAATTCACAGGGTTTTATGCTGATACTCTTTCAAAAGCTCAGCTCTGAACTCAGCGTCAGGAGAGAAGTGCTGCACCAGATCCAGAGCTGGTTTCCGACAGGATGCCACCTGAACACAGACACATCCCTTAAACGCGTTCACGTATTCTTCACTTTCTTACTAAACATGCATGAATTAGGAGACATCGGTAATGGAAGCTGCATTTGTAGACTGCGTTGTTAGAAAGCATTTTGGGAAAGTTAAGACCTGCCAAACCAAGGAAGACCCCCCCGTCAGACAGCTTGCCTGCCTCATGGACTTTTCAACTCCCTGTTCTGAAAACGTAGAAGATCTGGCTAAGTGTTTAACTGCTATCTGAAACCCTAACTAAGCTCGTTAATCATTCACCAAGTTAAAATCGCCAAGCACTAACAGTTTTAAGTGGAAACACTGCCATTTGCAGACATTACTAAAATCCGATAGAAAAATCTGGTTTCAAGTTAGAGCTCCCCCGGGAAGTGTCAGCACTGCCACTGCCACCAGTGGTTGCTGCCCAGTATGTGCTGGAGCACTGACATGGAAGAAGCACAGGGCAGTCCTCCCAGCTTCACCCTACTGCAAAGTCAGGCACAGCGAAGAACAAAGTAACAACACAGGAAACCAAAGGCTCAGCATCCTCTGCATATCAGTATGTTTTTCAGAGTTCTTACATTTCCAAAGTACCATTTGCAAAATTCCTGTTGGAATTCCTGAACAGAAATGCCAGGAAAACCATTCCTTCCAAACCCATTCAACCAAGCTAAGCTGTGCTGTTGGAAGCGATGCCAGGTGGCTTTCCACCCCACCACATCTTCTGTGAGATGCCACATCGTAACCTTCAGCTATGAAACAGGCTACATAAAAAAACAAATGAGCAGAGTAATTGTGGACCACCTGATTGCTACATTCAAAGGGATGTAAAGTCCTAATGGTCCCTTAATTCTCTGTGTGTGTATGATAAATGCTGCCTTGATGTTCACCATTATCATAACCAGAAAGCATCAACACCTTACACAATTTGCTAATGCTCGGAAACTTGAATACACTGAGAATACTTCACAACAAAAGGCTCGTGTGACACAGACAGAATCCACAGAACCCAAAACTCTTGAAGTTCATGTAAAACACATGAACACACACGGCTACAAATTCGAAACAATGCATAAAGGTCAGGACTTGATGGTTGCTTTCATGTCTTTAACTTGGTAGATTGCAGTGACATTACCTCCTGCAATACAGTTAAAGATGACTGGAAAAAAAAGTCATACAAGTAAACAGCTCCAGGTACCATGTTTGAATAGTGTATCTCTAAGGAAAGAAATATATTCAACACATTAGGAACAGAAACCTTACCTTTCTGGAAACACAACACGTCTCAGCTGATGCTAATCACCTGGCACATACCGCCAGACTACTGGGGCACCCAAATTTCCCCTTTTTAACCTCAATTTATGCATGACATAACACAGTACTTTCTATTCTACTTCGTGAAAATGAAGTAAGAAGAAATACACGTAAAGAAAACGCATGGCCTTCAAAAGGCTGTTCCACAGAATTTCAGTATTTCTGGTTTGTTATATCCGACAGGATATATTATTCAGACTTTTAAAAAAAATCATAAAACTAACAGAGAAGAAGCACTTACTATACTTTTATAGGCTGTTGTCTTGGTTAATGTGACAGGGCAGCAAAAGGGTTTTTTTTTTTGGTGTTTTTTTTTTTTTTTTTTTTTTTTGCATACTGGCAGTAGTGTTTGTTCCCTTCTGCACGTTTGAAGCACTTACATACCAATTAATAAGCACATACCAAAAAAAACAAACCACACATATATTTATATATACACACACACAGAAACATATCCTGACGCAAGTTTCAATATACTATATTCAAATGCTGCTGACAATACAAAGAATAAGAAACTGCATTTCAAATTTGGAGATCTTGTAAAATTGTACAAAAAAAATAAGAGATGCAAATAGCAGCAATTAGTTTAGATTTTAACTGTTAGGGTAAGGAAGAAAGGGACATTTACAGCCATCGCTTTTAGGTCCACAAAAGCTCCCCTACATACTACTTTGCTGAAAGACAGTAAAAAAAGCTTTCATGCTCATGCAGACAGCATGCAAGAAATGGCAGACTCTACTGAAGAAAGTATTATAAGGATTAATGCAGCCGCTGTGGTGAAAATTCCCTACAAATTCCAGTAGCATCTCTCTGAGTAGTGCTAGTGTACTACAGGAAATAAAATAATAAGAATCTAGTCCCTAAACTACTAACAGACAATACCCCTCTACAAGAGAATTGAACTGAAGGTGTACAAGAAAAGTGAATCCAGCTTTGGGCTCAGAGCTGAAGGGTCTGACTTGTGCATCCAGTCCACAGGACTTGCTGCACAACACAGCAAGGCAGCAACCTGCAACAGCTTACAGGTATTTAGTGACTGCTCCTGACATTTTTTTGGATAGCATCAATAAGAACAAGCAAATTGGGAACTTTTCTTCCCGTTGTCCCTGGCAGCTGAAAACGCCAGCACCAGAAGAAGTTTCTGATGGCCTGGTTTCCACTCTGAAGTAGAAGCAGGACTTTGATACCGCTCACGATGGAAAGGGACCCAGCAGTGCCCATGGAAAACAGAGCTTTCAAGAGTTCTGTACAAAGAACTCGGAAGCCCATAGCTCAGATCACAGCCAGCAAAGAAAAAAAGTACACTTTGTTGATTTTCTGTACCATGTGCGACTTGACAGGTGCTGACCAGGATCTAGATGTCACCAGGGAAAACACGACACAGAAGTCCACCTTCCTCGAGTTACCTGCAAATTGTTCAAAGCAGCAAGGAGAAGTTTTTGGCAGAAAACACTGAGTGTTGTTCTCCACGTCTCCATAAAGGCCTGTTAGTTATGAAACATGAGAAAAAATGGAACTGGTGTCTATTTTCTATATTAAGCCACAGAAGATATTTTGAATTCTTAGAGGTTCATCACTGACCTACCACAACCGAGAACAACAAAGCAATCCCTGCAGGTTTTTCTTCAGTATTTCATTTATTCCTTCAGCAAAGCCATCTATAAAGCTTCACTTATCAGCCAAGTGCTTATGCACACCATCAAGCAGAATAAACAATTTATTCTTTACTTAGGCCTTCTCCTGTAAAAACAAACAAGCTAAACTAAAGAGTTCAACTCACAGTATTATTACTTGCTCCTGGGGACAGTACATCTTTTATTTGTAAGGAAGATCATAACAGATACAAGGGAGAACTATTACCCCGCACAATAACCTTTAAATACAAACTTGCAATTATAAATTTAAAGGTATTTCAGATACGAGGAGGGAGAAGAGGGAGGAAGAAGAAACGCTACAGCAAAATGTTTGTGTTTTATGAAAACAGCCCTAAAAGAATTTTAGGAAAGCAACCTGACATGGCTGTGATTGCTACGAAATTGCTAGGAACTGAACGTGTATGCTCTTTACTAGTTTGACAAATTATACGGGGAGTCACATGTGTGCCACAAAACCTCCTGGGCAGCTGTAGTGATGGCATTTCAGACATCTGAGCACAAATGCAATTTTTTGCCTTGTCAAGTGACCACAGGCTAAGTCAGGCCACTGCTGGATGCTTTGAGGAAGATGAACCCACTTCAAGCGTAGCGCCAAAACTTGTGAGCGGTAAGTAAACATTTTAAAATTCGGTCCAGATATAGCTCTTGAAACAAAAGAAAGGAGGAGGAGGAACCGATCAGGACCAGAAAAGAGCCCCCAGTAAAACATGGGGCACCTTCGGCCTCTTCCCTCTGCTCCTTCTCAGGCAGCGCTCTGGGAACCACTTCCACTCCGTGGGCCGAGCAAAGTCAGATCACTTGGGCAGCCAACACAAAAAGTGAGAGTATTTAGGATGCAGTTATTCAAACTTAACATCTCAGGGAGCAAAGACTGGGCAGGTACTTGTACTACACCACGAGCAAGTTAACAGAACTTTTCCAGACCTAGCAAGGAGAAAAACAACACACATTGCCTCGAACAGCCTCAAATGCCAAGTCATCATTTTGGTGCTGGAAACCAAACTGAGCAATTCCGAGCTGTTTTGCCCTGCCTCAGTAGTTTCTTCAAAGCGGCTTCCCACCCAGAACATCTTTGCGAGCCCTTCTGAAAGCCACTGTCCCTAAAACTAAACAAAGATCGGGTTGGCACCGTCCCGAGCCGTGTCTCGCGTGCGGGCGGCCTGAGTACGGTCCTGTCGGGGTGCTGAGTGTTGGAGTAGAGCGTTTTTTATCTGAGGAGCTGCCCAAACCCCCTCACCCCGCAGCCTGGGTGCTCACACCTGCCCAGGCGGTGGGGCCCCCGCTACAAGTTCACAGCGTGCAACAAAGCCAGCCCTGCGGGGCAGCACCCAGCTCACCGGCAGCAACAAAAAGCTCAAATCCTCAATGCTGAAACAGCGAGCAGAGGGCAGCCCTGAATTATTACACGCTGCTTTCAGACCCCACCACACGCAGCCCCTCACAGGGCCCTCCTGCACCAGCGGCCGCCTCAGGGGGGGCAGCCCCGGCCCTGGGGGGGCCCCACACGGGGCTCGGTGACCCCCCCCCGGGCTCCACGCACACCCGGGGCACCGCCACAGCCCCTCGGGCTCCCCCAAACCTCCCAGCTCCCCCTCACAGCCCCAGCTCCCCCTCAGCACTCACAGGGTCCGGGGCTGCCCGTCGTCTTCCATAATGGTGCGTGAGCGCCGCTCGCAGCCGGAGGGTGACGGGGCCCGGGGGGGGGGGGGGGGGGGGGGCTCCGCGGCGCAGGGAGCCTCAGGGAAGCTGAGGCGGAGCGGCCCCGGCCGCCCTCGCTCCGTCTCCTCGCCCCCTCGCCGGGTCCCGACGGCGCGGCCCGCTCGGCGGAGGCGAGAGGCACCACAAAATGGCCGCCGCCGCCGCCAGCCGCTCAGGAAGCCGCGCTCCGCGCAGCCGCGCCCCCCGCCGGCCCCGCTCCCTGCCTGGGCTCGGCCCGGCCCCGCTCCTGCCCGCGCCGCTCCGCTCCGCCGCGCCGCGGGGCGCTCTGGGGATCGTAGGCGCGGCCGGGCACAGCTCGGCGGGGCGGGAGGGCTGCCCTCCGCCTCTCCCCCCCCCTCCCCACACCTCGTTTCTGGGTGTTGTAGTCCGCCGGCCGCGCACGGCACAGCGAAGGGAGAGAGGAGGGAACTACAACTCCCAGCATGCCCTGCGAGGGGGGGGAAGGCGGGCCCCGCTCGCGCTGCGCGTTCCGCCCCGCCGCGGGGGCGAGCGCGGGCGGCGCGGGAAGGGGCTGCGTGGCCCCAGTAATTGCCCCCCGTCATTAGCGCCGCGTCCTGGGCGCTGGAGCTGGGTCCCAGAGAATAAAAAGTTGTCGTGTGTTGTTGTCGTTGGTTAAAATTAATCATTTTTGGGTGTTGCGCCCCAGCGCGGGCTTTGTGGTTTTGGGACACCCCAAAATACCCTTCAGGGACAAACCAAAACACCCTTCGGGGACACCCCAAAACGCCTTTTTGGGACACCCCAAAACACCCTTCTGGGACACCCCAAACCACCCTCTTGGGACACCCCGCCCCTGGCTTGCACAGGGCTGAGGGGTGTGGTGTTGGATCTAAGGGTGGCTTTTGAAGGTGCTTGGAGGCGGGGAGGGAAATCCAAACGCCAGAAATGCCATAAAAAGGCCACGTAAATCAGGCTGTGACTTACATCAGCTGCTTGGTTTTACTTTGTTCAGTCACGGCTGGAAAGGTCTCGGGATATACCCACAGTGCGTGTACAGCTCCTCATAGCCATCAAACGCTGCCGGTGGCTGGTACCACAGGTGCCCAAATGGTCCCTCAGCCTCATTCCTGAGGCAATTTTTGGCAATTTTGGCAATTTCAGCAGAGGTATCAAGCAGTGTTCTCCTGAAGCTCTTTGGAAGTGCTGTCCTTTCTCACAGCCCTGGTGTTTGGGTATAAAAATTCCCGTATTTCCATTCTTCACATCTTGAGTATTGGACAATTTTCCAAGAGCCAGCACCGTTGTCACACAGAATTCACACTGACAAAGGAGAGCAGGTTAGGCGGGACAAAAACAGCCTAAAATTGTTCAGACGGTGCATCAAAACCCAGTCTTCATGTTGAGGGGAACACATGAGCAGCTAACAAACTATGGTTATGTGCATTACAAATATTTGAACACACTGAAATGAATTTTCAGTTTACCACATTGCTTTTCCGTTATTCCCTCAAAACTTCTGAGATAATAAATAAATAAATATATAAATATATTTAAAATCAAACATAAAAATCCCTGCTAACGCCATTAAATGGTCTCATTACAAAAAATATTTAATAGAAGAATTTTGGTAGCTTTTATTTTTCTGTAGCTAGTAACAAGCTAAATTAGGCATTGCCAATTAGGAAACGGGTCAGAATAACTCTGTATAGGCGGAGTATGAGTTCCTCACTGGCAGAATAATCACAGCACTTATTCTGGAAGAAATTCAATTTGTGTACACATTGCATATTCAAGTACTACTAAATGCTCTCCCTCTTCCAAAATAGTAACATTGTGAAGAAAACTGCCTATATACTTATCAGACTAGTTATTTTCATGCCTGCTGCTCCCACAGCAATGTTTTCCCAGCTTTGACTTAAACACGCAAGGCTGTTGCCAGGCACGTATTTTGGCAGCAGCTCTCCTGGCTAGATGCCGCATGTGTTTTAGAAGTATACATGGGATGATAGGTGCTTCAAGTAGCTTTTTACAATGCATTGGAAAACACAGAAGGTTGAGTACCTCGGGAATCACTGGAAGAGTCCAGCCATGGGATTAGTATAAAGACCATCAAGAACCCATGCACCCAGCAGGAACCAAGCTCTTCATGGTCAGAACCACCACTGGCAGCAGCAGGAGGCATGAGCAGAGGTGCTGAATACCAGAGGTGGGGGAAAATTCCAGTGTTGTGCCCACTTCTGGGGGCACCATGTCCCACTGAAGTGGCTTGCTTAGTGCCCTGCATGTACCCAGGTCGGAGACCTGATAGAAGACATATTTCTATAGCACGGGCAAAAATGACTCCTGATGCAAGCCATATGTGTGGCATTGAGGGTTGCCTAAGCTGCAAAATAACCGGCAGCTCATCAGGAGTTGGCCCTGCTCTGTGTGTCCTGTAAAACTGACACCACGTCTGTGTGATCCACACCTGATAGACTGAAACCTTGGCACAACGTATGCAGATCAGCAATGCCTCCTAGTAATGTCTGTGGGCTAAAAAAGTGAATGAACCTGGAATATGCATCCGTAAATGTGATCGCAAACACTTCTCTGAGAAGAGCCACTTCATTTACAGCAGCAATGCAAAACAGAAACCTTCTCGTTCAGAGGCAGATTTTTTTTAAAGATTACATTACCAAAATATTTTAAATATTCTGCTATATGCAAAATGACCAGCTATCTCCAAACCCAATCAAAACAACACTCAGAACTTAAAAATACCTCTTCACTTAAAAATACCTTGCACTAATGAAACTTCACACAAACTCTCCTCATTTTTTGCCCTTTAAACCTTGCTTTTTGCTTTTTTTTTTTTTCAGGTCATGCCAGAAGATATCCGGGTCTGGATATACAGATGATATATAGAGCAATATACATATATCCAGATTGAAGAGTGCAATTATTTATTTCGTGTGTTTGGTTATTTGGGCCATAATCTGTAAATCATGGGCATTCTCTGGATGTTATGATGGTTTGCAGTGTTTATTGCTACATGAAATGATGCAGCATGAAAGATGACTTGCTGCAAGACATGGAAATGGCGTTGGACTGCCCATTACCGACTAGCATCAATAATCTGCAGCCCCATCACAACTGCCATGTTCCTGGCAGTGCAAGCATTATTGTTAAACACAGCAATAAATAATAATAATAAAAAAAATCTTTGAGGAAAATTTATTTCCTGAGTTCAAGCTTCCCAGTTTGTATTAGTCTGGCAGAGGCCACAGAACAGTGAGTATTCGAATACTGTTTTGTGGAGAAGGATGTAAGATTTATTCAGAGGTGGTGAGAGGCACATAACAAGGTGAGCAGGACCCACTTGAACCAAAACCTGCTGGAGAGCTGTATTTGTGCCAGATCAAACCATTCAATTTGCAGAAGTAACTCAAAGTTTGTTTGCTTCTATTCTACCTTTCTGTCAGTGTTTGGCCACTTTATATAGATGGGTTTTGGTAATATTGTCCTTTAACATGAAAGACCTGGCAAAATAATGTGAATTCTAAAAATCGAACTTAGACATCCCCAGCAACTGCCTTTACAGCACTGGTGCTGTAACCACTTGGTTACACTTGAAGGACTGCAGGCATAGTATGAAGAGCTGATCGCAGAGATAATTGGAGACAAACAGCCAACATGAACCCCTACAGAAATGCCTAAGAAGGTTCTTAGGCCTTCCATTCATGAAACCAAAGAGGTCTTTGCAAGGAACCCAGCATTAGTTCTTACACCAGACCAGCATGTGGCAGAAGACCTTCACCGAGGCTGAGGATAGGGTCAGGCAAATGGCTGGGGACAACCCACTAGAAAATGGAACATGAAGTGACACAAAAGTTGTCTTCTTAACATGAGTTTAAAAAGAGACAGGCGCATTTCAGCTTCAGAGACATGTAAGGTCCCAGCAACTCGCCGTATCACATGAGACTTAATTACATCCACATTCAAGGAGGGAAGCACTTTATAAGGCACTTGGGAGCTGACTTAGATGCCTTCTCAAAGTACATGCTAGAAATGAAGTGCTTCTAGTAGGTTTAAAGACTGACACGATATTCAGAGCATTGGATAGCACTGAGAACTTCTCTGGAAACACCATTATTCAGTTACGTTTTCCCGTTAACAATTACTTTTTGAGATTTGTTAATTAGCATGTCTTAATCTGTTTGTTACGTATGCCTTGATACCTTTATGTAGCTCTAATTTGCTAAACAGAATGTCATTTAGCATTGTGTAAAGACAATCATTCATTAAGTACAATGGCCCATTTTACCTCTGCAACTATTTCTACCTGACAAAGCAGCAATCTCCTTAAAAACAAAGTAATGTCTAGTGAGTAGACTTATTTTCCATATAACCACTTCTTAGACACTGAGTCCTATGTGGTCTTTTTGTTAATTTATTTACAGCTGATATTTAGTTGATGGACGCAAAGTTTTGTGATTCATCATGATATTTTCAAGTTAGATACAGCAATTCTTCCCTGCAGCTGCTAGCACAGAAAATCTCAAGGATGCTCCAAGTCAGCACCCCTCTGTTGCAGCAAACCTATGACCGAGAAAGGGCTCAAAGCATTAGGAATGAAATGAAGAAGTTACCAAATGATAACACGGCCAAACAAGAAATTAAGGCAGCATTTATAATCTGTGGTCAGCCCATTATCTCTGTTTTCCAGCAACACATTGCTTATTCCAGTGGACAGACGATGCTACAAGAACATTCCCTACAAACAGCTTTCATTAACTATAGGTTCTAGCAAGGATTTGTTTGGGACTAGCCTCTTCATTTATCTCTTTTTAAATACAGCTTATCTTATAGAACTTGTTGCCTTGCATACCTTATTCTTAACTGCATACGGCAAGTCTGGGAGCTGTGCGGTGGCAATGAAGTTTTGCAGAGATGCTTTGCTAACTTGTTTTCACCTCATCTTTTTTTAGTTCTTCTGAACTGCATTTTATAGATTTATGGAAGAAATGAAAACAGAGCAAATATCCAGGTTCCTGCCCAAGGAGGGTGGCTCTCTCTGCTCAGGCAGTGCAAGCAACTTGGTGAGGCTGTGCCATCCTGCACAAGGTGAAGCATCGGTGGCACCACACCACAAGACAAGGGGCAGCCCTGCTCAGAGCCTGGGTCAGGATCAGAAGGAAGCAAATGTGCCTTCATGAAGTCTTTTCTCTCTCTCTGCCATCCTCATGTCAGCAGCAGGAGGGCTAGTCTTGAGAATCCAACCTCTTGTAAATCTGGTGGCTTTCATTTGTCTTCCTTTGCCGATC